CAAACTGCAGTTAAAATTGAAGCAGGATGACAAGTGCATCTAAATGAACTCACAGAGGATTCAAATAATTTTGTGCCATTCAGTCTCAATCTATTAAGCCTCATGGAGCTAAAAGCAATGCATTAGTCACTCAGCATTACAATGTTTAAAAGGACAAGGGTTTGAGTTGGTTTCAACAGTACTTTGGTGTAAGTGATGTCAATGTATGTCATATAGGTGTAATGTAAGGACACCACTGCCCGCTGTGGACTGGTCTTCACATATGACTCATGTTAACACCACGAGAAGAGACAATGGTGTATTCAAAGAAAAAATAATATAGGATGAAACTTCATGGTGATTTAAAATCACATACAGTTGTCAGCTAATTTGACTAATTTAACTACTCCTGCGTTTTAAGCTATGGCAAAGTTCCTCTGTCACTATACCAATTATGCAATTAAATTTAAAATATTACATGAATATTACAATATATTACAATATTTTAATGGGCAAAGGTCCTCACAAAAACCTTCAAATCAGGAAGGAATCATTTGTCTAAAATCCATGAATTATTATATGCCAAATAAGATCCAGTGAGAACTCATGACAGCAGAATTACCTCATTATTCATTTCATATTAAACCTCCAGGACCCTCACTCGCTGCAGACGGGGGCCACACGTGCAGCGTTTCTGTGTGTATCCTGGAAAGATTAGTTTGATTAATTTAAATTTCATATCTGACAAAATCTCATTCTGCTCCATTCAGTTCATCGCTTCATCTAAATCAATACAGATAAGAATCATGGTTGTGGTCTGCAGGGACAAGCTCCATTTTTGTGTGAGAGATACAAGAGCCAATATAAGATGATAGATAGATAGATAACACAAAAAGTGAAAAGCAACCAAAGCATTAAATAGTGGGTTTTACATAAGATGTCCTCCCAGACTACACAGCTGTTTGTGATGCTATCTGACACATGTGGAGTGGGCCACGTGGCTAAAGTGTCTTGCCTAGGGACACAAAAACAGTGTATTGGCTTGAGTGAGTTGAAAGTTGTTGGGTATATACTTTTAACTGACTGCACCCAAGTCAAAATCTGTTGGTGTTTGTAGTAAATGTGGTGAAACACACAACTTTTTTTTTTTGTGTGTGTCTGAGACTGTTATAAGCAGTATTATATCGGCTAGTATTTTATTTTTTTGCCCAAAAAATTGTCTTTTCACTTTCTTCAACCTAGGTATTTTTGGCTAAGCACTATGGCACTGGTGTGTAGTCCTATTTTGGGATCTGGCTTAACTCTAATTAAGATCAGAATAGTGCTGGCGTGGAGCTGCTTTAGATCTAGTGAAACTTGTTAAATTAAATCTTTTCTAATATGGTACTCGGTGGGAAAGGTTTGAGAAAATTGTGGGTCTTTCCCTTCCATCTCCGCACTGTGTATCAGCTTGCTGTGATACAGGGACCATAAATCTAAATTTGAGCCTAGCCTTTGTTGGTCTATAAATAAGTCCAAAAATCCTATATACCATTTATTTAATATGAGAAAAGTGGTCAGTTTCTGAATTATGCTCCTGAGTCTTGTCCCCTTTAAAACACAAGTGTGATGGAGAAGTGAAGAAAGAGCTATGAAATACGAGCCTCGATGCATTGGGCCCATCCATTCCCAGCTGAGGTCCCTCATGACACCGTGTCGTCCTATCATGAGGCCTAATGACGCTTACTTCATCCTGACATCACATATCGATTGGCCGTCTGGGGGAGAGATGGGGGAAGAGATGGGGCGGGGGACGCAGAGAGGGACAGATGTACGCACGGACATGTGGACAGCTCAAAATGGGGCTAATCTCATTAATATAAGATGTGTCATATGACTCCATTGTAGGGGCTTTTTCATTTTGCAGGAAACAAAAATGTAAAAAAGAGCAGAGTTAGACAAGGCAGAGCAATGAGTCGACCATACATATTTGGAAAACTTTTTTTTTTTTTCGTAATTACAGAATAGGCTGTATTTATACCTGTAGTTATAGTGTATAGTGTAGTGTCTTTAATTTTAAAAGTGCAACCAACCTGAAATTTCCCCTATTCGAGACAAGGTATGCTTTGTAAAGACTATGAAGAACTTAAAAAAGGTTAGGAATGAGAACATGAGTGTTGTAGAAGTTTTCATTGTCCAAGAAAGGGTGGAAGTAAAAGGCTGGAGACCAACGGGACATCTTAAGCAGGAAAAGTTTATTTACCATCATTAATACGGGCCCCAGGGGGACTTGAAAAGTCAACATAGTATGATTTCAAAAGTGAACATAGTATGGTCTTTGAGTGTTCAAGTCCCTTTACTATGCTTCCAAAGGAGGAGGTTCATAAAGCGTGATTATTATAAATATTATAATAAATATTTATAAAGTGTGGTGAGACTATGAAGGCCAGTAGGCACCGGTTAGACAGCAATATGCCACAGTTTAGATGATGGTATGCCGATGGTATGCCAAGGGAAGATGAGCATGTTACTATAGCTCCTGTGAATCAATGTTAAACAGAGAGATGTACGTGGAGGATAAATTATTTCAATTCTCTTACAATGAGTTGTTAGATGTTTTGAAGTTTGAAGTTGTTAGATGATCAAAGAAAAGCCAGTTTGAGGTGACTTGAACATACAGCTTATTTAAAAGTGTAAGAATGCCAAGATTTGAATTGTCAGACAGCAGGCCTATATAGAAACATAGAGAATCACATGTATGTATGTATGTACGTATGTATGTAGGTAGGTAGGTAGGTAGGTAGGTAAGAGGTAGTAACAGAGAGCTGAAATTTGATAGAAAATCAGTTAAGGTGATCAGGTTTTTTTCTTATCAAATATTTTACATTTTGAAAAACTAAAACAATATGTGTAATGATACTAAATCTAAATGGCCATCATGTTGCTATAGCTGTGTTTCAGATGACATCACAATGTTCTATACATCAGTAATATTCAATATAGATGGGGGCAGCTAAGGTGAATATTGTTAAAATGCAGATTTTTGTTGTAGACACAAGGTAATGGGTCTAGTCGCTTATAAAAATCTTCATGTTCAACATTTGTGAATTTACCTTTTTAGATATTCTCTGGTACAGTGTAATGAACAGGTATTTTCCTTTTGTTGAGAATCACTATTTTCAGTTTGCAAGTGCAATAAAACAAGGACAACAATCTATTTTAATTCGAGCTACTGTATCTTAGCCAGGTTTTCAGTGATGTTATGTCAGAAAAGCCCCTCTCTATGAAGCCTGTTGTGGGGGCAGTTCGTTCTATACCCATCTGGTTGACCTCTATTGATCACTACATAAATTATTGATGAGTAATTAAAACATGGAAGCACGACGCAAGTGGGGGTAGGGGTGCAATATCTAACACCTTTAAATTACTGTTTTATGTTGGAATTCCAATTTAAAAAAACATGATGTCACTATATGTCACCCCAGTAGTCATCCACCTGCCCCCACTCCACAGATGCTACCCCTCCATCCTGTACCAGGATGGTTTAGGTAGGGCAGAGGAGGAAGGATGATGTATGAATCAAATACAGATCTGTAGGTCACTTGGACGGCTGAGTGCACACAGGGAGGGGCTGTGAGGTCATCAATCCACCTCTGTGTCACTGTCCAGTCCAAACAAAAGACTATTCTTCTAATCCTTCCTTTTCCCATGTATTTATTCAACTTCTACATGCCTGTGCAGTTAATCACATTTATAATCGTGACATCAATGATTCAATAACTTATCAATAATACACTTAATTTCCTTTGGTTCAGAATGTGTGTACTCATTTTGGCCCTGAATACAGAATTTTAAAATAGTAAGTGTCCAAAAACATTACTAACAAAATATATAAGCTCACAAGTTCATTCTTACAGTATAGAAATAATTGTGAAACATGGTTATAATTTTTGCCAGCCCCACTTCTTCATATTAAAAACGAAACCAAGTATTATAGATGGTGTTAGTGCCTACATACCTGGGACACAGCAAATCCAGTCAGATTACAAGCCACTGTAGTTTTAATTCAGATGATCATAAGCCTGGATAAAGAAGATCCAAAAAATTTGCTACATGTTGTATTCTTGAGCAACATCCCGCTCACAACATAAACATCATTACATCACTGACACACAGGTTGGCGGTCTAATTCCAGTTCCCACTGATGAATACTGTTGTTGTGTTCTTGGGCAAGACACTCAACCTGCTTCGTTCCCAGTGTCTGAATACACTGGTGTATGAATGTGTGTGTGAATGGGTGTTTATTTACCTTGTGAGCAAGACACTTTACCACCTTGCCTTTTTATGTACAAAGGTGTGTGCCTGATAGTTGGGAAGGGTGTAGTAGAAACAGCTTTGCAGCCATGCTGCTGTCAGTTAGCCCCAAGTCAACTGTGACTTATGAAGTATCTTAATGAGGAGTAAATAAATAATGGATTACTGTAGTGTCTAGATTGCTAACATGTAAAAAAGGCAATATAATCCATCACATCAACACATAATACAGAGAATGAGTCCCTTGTCTTTAACATTATACAGTTTTGTATGACCTTCTGTTGCTCCTCCAGCACAGCAGCTGAATGTGGCTTAGATGTGAAAGGGCCACAGCGTGGATCCATTAAGGGCCACAGGTGATCAGATCCAAGATGGCCGCCGGTGGGGTCCACACCGCACCTGCCCACGAGCTCTGCTCACCATCTGCACGAGGGAACAGTTGTCTGATGGCCCCGGATGTAACTCCATCTGCTTATACTCACTGTGGTTTGGAAACTGGTGAAAGCTTTTGCAGCTTTTATTGCCTAGAAAAAAAGACAATGCCTTACAGTTTTTCTAAACAAACGCTATTATGCACTGCCCTCTGGTGACGACAATAATTACACGTTTTGCCCTTTCCTGAAACCCCAAATTTTGCACAGTAGTCAATTCCATACCATTTCACGAAGACACCCTGTTATGATTCTGTAACAAATGTATACAAGTGTTTGATAAGCAATACACAGTAGTGAGCAGTGAGTGAACTTTATTGATTGGTCGATCAAGATGACAGCTTCTAATGCACACAACACCATTGAATGTGGACCATTAGTTAAAAAAAAAACCCAAAAAACTACTTAGCATATGTGGCAAATTTTCAGATATCAAGTAGAAAACATACATTTAAATTTGTACTAAAGGACCAACCCTCATTAGAGTTGTTTGGAAACTGGACAAGGCATGAAGCACACAATTGAAAATATAAAAACTATACTTATTTTCAACAAACCAAAGACCAACTGGAAAAATACAGAAATGGTAAAACAGATCACAGAAAATCAGACTAAAGGCACATTGGTCCCAACACGTCTCCTCCAAAAGAGACTAAGACCAGAGTCACGTTTTTAAACCCTGCATGCATATGGACACTCCGCTCAAAACTGTACACAACACACAGGGGCCTTGTCTTAACATTCATAAGAAAAATTATCAGTAGCAATGCTTTTGAATGGCTTAATGCAAAATATAGAAGAGTGAGTTTAACAGGCCTTTTTACAGATAAAATAATGAGTGAAAGGGCTGCTAAAGCATTTCTTAAAAATCACTAACCAAATTTGGGACAAAGATGTTAGAAATGACTGAGGAAAGAAACTCAACCTGAAAAGAAGCACTTACATTTTTATCAAATTTCGGTATAAACCTAGCAACATGTCAAAAACCTTTTAAAGAAAATTCACAGTGGGAATAATGATTTGTGAAGTAAATAAAATATTACATTTATGCAAACCAACAAAGTTTCGCTAGAACTATACAAAAACACTACCCATGTTTACAGCTAAACATGAATTTCACATTTGTTTTCAACTTCAATTGTCTCTACATTAGCCAAATCCATTTGAAAACAACAGTAAAAACATAAAATGGGCATGATGGAAAGGGCTTCCTCACTGGTGAGAATTAGGGATGGATATTAGATGGTGGATTTGGAGAAGGAGACTTTGAGGTGATGATTTCCACCCATGTCATAGTTATGGAGATCGATCAGCGCTTGTATGGCCTCCTCCACTGATGACATCTGGATCAAAGCCATTTTACGGTCCCTAAAAAGCAAGCAAATACATATTATTGGAGTTTCCTGAATAAGAAAAGAAAATATGAGTCCACTTCACAAAATTCTTACTGGAAAAACTTGAAAGCCTTCACAGTTCCTCCAGTGTTTGAGAACAACAGACGAAGATCATCTTCTCCAATGGCCTCCCTGATCAAGAGAAAAAACAGAATAACCATCAATAATAGAAATATAAGTCAACCATCTGTTCTGCCTCTACAGGGTTATTACCGAACATTCGAGAGATGAAGTGTTGTAGAAGGAGGAAATATGTTCTGAAAGTTCTTGGAGCCAGGCTTCTTGAAGCGGTGCAGCGGTGAGCCAGAGAAATCTAGATCAAATATTTTGAATACGGTAAGACATGGACAAAATATCAATGCAAAACTGTTACATAATGTACCAATGTCAATATTATTGTAGTTTAATTTGTTATTTCACCTTTAGTGAGGAGCTGGTCATCCAGGCCTTCTCTGGGTAAAGCTACTGTTTGATGTTTGGACAGTGTCACTCGCATTACTTTACCAAAGATTTTCTGTCCATTCAGGTGACTCATAGCTGTGTAAAAAAAAATTAATATTAGACTCTGAAAAACAATATTTCAGAATTTTCAGTGTATAGTTAAATTTTGCTTAATCTATGGTGTGTAAGCAGTTACCGAGCTGAGCCTGGTTGCCATCTGCCAGCTGGATCAGAGCGCTGTCCTTCTTGTTGTAGAGGATCTTCACCCTCTGCACGTCACCATAGACCCCTGAAGAGAGAGAAAGAGACAGAGAGAGAAACAGCAGAGCCAGAGCAGAGGGCGAGGACAGACAGAGCAGAAAGATGGAGCCGACGAGGATACAGGAGAGGTGTGAAGGATGAAGGAATAAAGTTAGTGCCAGAAAGACAAATGAAAAGAAGAAATGGAAGTCTTCCCATTTGACTTCTTCTAAAACACCTTTCAAATGCTAACAGGTGGTTTTATCGACTGCCAACCAGAAAAATACTGCAGTAAACGTACACTGCTAAAACACACAGGCACAGTGAGAAAAACACATTTAACCAGAAGCACTGGACTAAAATAAACCTCTAAATGTTAACAGAGTGTTTGGATTAAACAGGCTGGTTGACAGTGTCTCGTTTGTGTGGCAGTAATAACCAACTTCAAAAGGGCACCAATGATATGGCATTTGAAATAAGCTTCGTGGTACATTGTGTCTGTACCTGATAATTTCAGAGAAAGAGATAGGAGAGATTCAGAGGCTTTAGGAGCGTGTTAGAGTGAACTCGACTGTTCTTAACAAGGGATGAAACGCAAACATTAAAATGATCCACATGGTCCTGGCTGACTGCAGTATATACACAAACTACAATCTAAAACTACAATTAACTATTATAAGCACAGTTATAGTGATCACCACAGTTCCCAACTGAAGAATATGCATCGGGTGACAGGACAGTCCATTATTTATTCTCTAGGCTATATAATTTACTGGCCTCCAGGTAAGATTTCACTACTCACATTTCCTGTTTCCATGCTATTTTAAGATCTCTTCAAAATTACGTTTTAGAGCATTCAGATTACAATGTACATTTGGAAACCTCACAATTATTTGCTACATTACCTAGAAAATTGTAAACCTCCCCCTTTTACTAGTTAGTTTGGTTCAGGAGAATGTGGATCATTTTACTGTCTGTTTTCACAGGAGCAGTCGGCTCCATGTCATGTTCACTTTGTGACAAAATAGGCGAATATCTCGCCCAACAACCACGAGTGGAGAAAACTTGGATTAACAGAGAGAGCTAAACAGATTGAGTAGTAGAGGTTGAACATACCGAAGAGGGTAAAGAGACTTTGAGGCGTGACCATCTTTAGAGAGAGAGACCGCAGAGCAGAGGACAGAGGAGGAGGAGCAGAGGAGAGGACAGACGAAGGTACAGACCGCCCAGCGTTGGGACGGTGGTGGTGTCCGTGATGAAGGGGCAGAGCATAGATAGAGAAGGCATGGCACGTCCAGGGAAGGGGCAAGAGTGTGTTAGGAGCACAGGAGGGGCGAGGAGGGGAACATAGGTGGAGGGGCGGGTAGTATTAAAAAAGTAGAAATTACAGGACATTTGAGCAAACAGTTGGGGAGGAAATGTTTAGAAAAGAAATTAAACAAAAACATGAGGGTAAGGGGGAGCAGAGAGGGAGGGGAGGAGAGGAGGACAAAAACCAAAGCAGAGGTCAGTAAACAGAGCATCAGTGGAACATCAAAGGAATGATTACTGCTTCCACCCAACACACACTTCTCACACGCACACGTTCTGGATGAAGGGATGAGGCGCTCAAACGTTTTATTGAGCAATGGACAAAAAGCAAATAAATTGTGGACTTGTTCGACAGTGGCCAGTGCAGCATAGGCAATGCTGAAGATCTTTTAACAGATCTATCATATGTTTTTTAAAAACAATGAATCATGAAAGAAACTTCTGAGTAAAAAGTTCACCAATTACATTATAATTAATTTGCCAGTTGTTTTAAGACTGTACAATATACACATTTATTTATAAATTTCTATAAATAATTTATACAGGAAAAAAAAACTTTGGCAAATAGGTAATAATGGAAATCCTTCGGACCACATCTGGCACACTTTATACCGAACAAGCTATGTATAAAAGAGGGTGGAAGCAAAACTAACCAAAAGGGAATTGACAATGAAGCAGATTAAACGTTTTCAGGAAACAAAACATTCGAATTTACAAAACAAAAGAATGATTGAAGTGTTTTGGTATTGTGCTGATAACTGTATTTTGAGTGTTGTAGGATTGATTTTTAATATATTTTATGTCTATTAAATATGGTGAAGGTAAGTACCATATTTGTTAAAGTAACACTAAGGACATTAAAATGAGTGCTGATGGTGTTCTCAGACTTGTAGAGGAGCTGAGAGAATTCTGATAGAGAGAGTTGAACAGAGAAACATATCAGAGAGACACAAATAACACAAGTCTAAAGTCAAGTCATAGGGAAATAGCAAGCTCTTTGACCTGTGCTGGAATCAAGTGCTGTTGAGGTTTCTTAATGCTGCTCAAGTACATTCATTAAATAAAATTGAGTAACAACTGCAGTAGACTTGACAGTTACTTTTGCATTTGACAACCCTACTAAGCGGTCTATGCATTTTTTTCTTTACCTAAAGGAGTCAGAAGTAGATCAAAACGATATTTTGTGGCATATCAAATAAAAACAATTGGTTACATTTTAAGATATCTATCGCCGAACAGGTTAAGAAACAGATTGATTTTGCTTGTGTACCTCGTCATTCAGGTTGGAGGCCAGCAGGACTCCGGATACTCCGGACCCAGACAGAGCCACTCGTCCAGCAGCTGCAGCAGCGGCCGCCGCAGCACTCAGGGGGCTGATGGCTCCTGTCACACACAAACACAAACAAAACCTGAGCGCCAAGATCACTTCAAAGAGGCCACAGGTGTGAAAGAGCACAAATCCTCTACAACACAATGGGAAGCTATTAGGATAACAGTACACTTGATAAAGAACACATAAAAATGAGTCTTCAAACTGTTTAAGACCTTCTCCAGTGTCTGGAGACCACTGGGCAGATGCAGCCAGAGTACTGAACTAATTTAGCCGCACATTGCACCAAGACCAAAGTCACTATTTGAATTTTACATATTTACCTCCGCTCTGTGAGAGGGAGAGAGAAGAGGAATAACCACCTCCACTGGAATAGGATGCCAGAGCTCCAGAAGGGGTCCCTGCAAGACAATATCCACATTGTTAGTCAACAGCACAACGTTCAGATGAAAGTAACAATAACAAACTATTTGGAAACGTACCCAATAAAGAATGGTCTTTGCTGGTTGATTCTCCGTCGCCAGTGGGTAGGTCAGGTCTGGTGTAATCTCGACTTTTATCATTATTATACTTAACATTAAGGTTGACCAGTTTACTGAAGTCTATCCTCAAAGTGCAACATGAATTATAGATGTTCTGTCCGTCCAAGGACTGAAAAGAAAATTTAAACTTTCAGAAAAAAAAAACAACTAGATTAATAATGAAATGAATGTTACATTACCAGTTTAGCCTGCTGCGCATTGACAGGATCACTGAACTGCAGAAGAGCCTGGAACTGATTGTTCTTGGTAAAGGTTATAATCTTCATGACAGTTCCAAACTTGCTAAAGATCTGAAATTAAAAAAAATTGAAATTAAGATTTACAGAACAATTTCTGATATGTGAGTAATAAGACACAAAATTACTATTAATAACATTTTACCTGCTGCAGAACATCCAGCGTCACTGGATAAAACATGTTGTCAATTATGATACGGAGAACAGGGCTTGGAGGAGGAGCCAGTTCGACAATTCCAGCATCAGAGGAGGGAGAGCTGCCATCCTGCACTGCAGACACTGCCTGAAGCACTGCCTGGGCCCTCTGGATTTAAAAAAAAAAAAAAAAAACGAAGACAAAATGAAATATCAAAGTTTTTTTTTTTTTTTTTAATGCCAAATGTATTAAGAAATATACCTGATTTAGAGCAGAGTCAGTTTTCAGTTCCTTATGGTTGGAGTACTGAATGAACACTGGGGTATTCCTGACCTGTGCAGGTTACAAGTGTATTAGACATTGGACTTCAGACATGCTTGAACTACAAACAGAAATACTTTCACTAACCTGTGGCGTGACAGCAGTGTAGTAATTGACCATTGTAATAGCAGCTTCCTCAGTACCGAGCTCCAAAAATGCCTATCAAAACAAAAACACAGAGTCAGGCAAGATTGTGAAACTTTTTTTTAAGATAATGTCTACAATCAGTACCTGGTTTTTGCCTTTCAGCATCAGTATGTTGGTGACTTTGCCAAAAGGAAGACCCAGAGCGATTACTTCTGTCTCTGATACTTCACTGGGGAGTTTCCTGATGTGGAGAACTCTGGAGGGAGGAGGGTCATCTAGTCGCTGTTTCTTGGTGTCGCCACCATTGGCTAAACATATATACACAGACCAAAATGTGAGAATGATGTAATGGATTTTGTTCCAACATGACGACTGAGTACTGATGCTTTACCCACCGGCCATAGTGCTGGAGCTGCTACCGTACATGTTGAGCTCATCGGAGCCTCTCTACAAAATTACAAAAAACATAAAATTGTAGGCTCATTACAAAGGAATCATGCTCAAATATGGTTTGACTACAATTTCACTTGCACTTGACAATAGCTGCAAAAACATACCTTTAAACCAACCGCAACATCACTGAAGAAAAAAAAAAAAAAAGTTAGATAGACATTAAATGCTTCCATTATCTACAAGTTATTGATCACCAATTTTTAAAGATACGTTTAACACACGCACACACACAAAAAAAAAAAAAAAAAAAAAAAAAAAACACTTCTTCTGCGTGTATGCCATGTAGTTAAAGATACAAAGCCATCTTTATAATTACACAAAAATGTTTGATTAAAATGCATTAGTGTGGCGTTAATCCCTTTACCAACAGGTAACAAATGATCCTTTTGTGTTCACGCTGAACTGGGGGTTACCACAGATCTATTCTATCTAATCAAATAGTTATCGTTAGCTCTATATAGCAAGACCCAGATACAAAAAACAAAACACGCCAATATTTCGCATTTGCCAGTGTGTTACCTCTAGTACACAAGCCATAAATAAAAAAAAACAAACATTAGGCTTTCCTGATCGACTGATGCGTGATGGCGAGCTAGCTAACGCCACATTTTCCCCTTTGTGAAAAACGCGATCATGGCCAGACCCGCTAAGCTAACCCGCTAGCGTGCATTTAAGAGACCACAGCATTGCATTTAGATTATATTATCATGGTTACATGCAGAATATGGAGATAAGGAGAACCCTGTATTGTATAAAAGAGAGATTTACCCGTCCATCGCAGCTCTTTGTCCTCTTTGTCTGCAGATTTCAGCACCTCGATGCCTGAGTGAGCGGGGCAACAAAGATGGACGCGCTTCCTCTTTGTAAAACTACGGTCGATAATAGCCACATCACAGGGAGAGCGCCACCCTCTGACTGGACAGGACAATGACCGAAAGTAGGCTAAATATTTATTCCACTACCACAATAAAAACACAAATTTTAAATTAAACAATGAGAAGGCTATATATTCATGTCACTTATCGCCTCTACTGAAGCACAGATTACAGACTACAAATTAAATTTGGTTACTCCTCTATGACAATACTACAAGCATGAAGTATAATTTGTTTTTTCAATTTCAGTTTTTGGGTAGTAGCTTTTTACTACTCAAATGACCTGCCTTTTTATTACATTGACCTACATTGCATTAGTTTTTGATATTAGCACAATCCAGTAATAAGTAATCCTATTGACCAATGCTTGCCTTGTTTATTTATGAGTTTTATTTTATTTTTCCGTGCACCTTGAAGGAATACACACATGTGTACTCTGGATGTCCCCAGTTGCTCAGGATTTCTAGCCTCACATACCTATAAGTCTGTGTGGGGCCCTGTAGAAAGACAAAAGGACATTTAATAGGCTTAAACCATAATGCATTTGTTGGATTTAAGACATAAAAACGATTTTAATCTCACAAAGAGTTCAAAAGTTTGAAACGACTCTCCTTCTGGATCATATTCAAAATCCCCTAAGTGTGTTCCCTCTCCATTTTCAGATAAAAAACCCTGAAATCAGAAATATAAGTTTTAATGTATCATACCTCACTTTATTGTATTTTAATTCTATTCTTACTCACTGAGACCGAGAAATGCTGCGGAGCACTGTACACAAACCCATAGGGGGCGTGCTCTCGGGAGATGTGCCCCAGAGTCACATGGGACATGGCGACAGGCTGCGAGAGGGATATGAACAGATGTCCCTGGTGTCCGGCAAAAGACCAGCACCGGCCAGGAACAAGCGCCTCCGTGTGGCCCTGTGGTCAGACAGAGAAAAGATTCTAGTTTTCTGAGGACCCTGTGGTGCAAGATGATTTTGGAGAGCACTTTGTTTACTCGAATTGAGGGATGCTTTCCCCTGTATTCCACAAACTGTTTTTCACATGCACAACATCATACAAAAAAGATGTATGTACATATGAGATTGAGGACAAATAAATGTAATTACGGTAATTGTGATAATCCAATTATAGATAGTTAGATAGATAATTAGATTATTATCTTATAGATGCCTAGTTACTGAATCTAATACCTGAATGATAGTTCTTGGTGAGTAGACAGGATACAAAAATGCCTTGCATAAAAATGTCACCAGTGGAGGCAGCGAGGGAGAATGGTAACTTTCTGATGGATAAGCATCAAGGACACGTGCCCCTGCAAAAGAAGACAGAGTTCAGGAAACATTATTATGATATTACAATATCATAGTCTGTTGTGAGGTTAAAATGTTCCTCCATTAAAATATTAAAAGCTACTGAATAAAAAACAAGCAGTTACCAATAGCCTGCTTTAATGCAGTTGCTCTTCAAGGTTGTTACCCATGTTACGTCAACTATTTTTTGTGTGCTTTGTGTAATAGTGTAACATTTTGTAATTATTTAACTTAGAGAGACTGTAGGCCTTATTCATATGCTTACCCTGTGACTCCAGTGCAAAGTTGGGCATAGAAAGTCCTTCTGGTAGGAGTTTATTTCTTAGTCGAAATAGCTCTTCTTGTAGCTGCTTTAAGTTAGTTTGGACTTCCTTTAAAGCCTCAAAGTCACTATACCTGGACTCCCAGAGGCCTGAGTTAAAGGTTTGCATTTGGAGTAACAAACTTCCTGAATTAAGGGACACAGCAGAACACAGCAGGACGGCCAGAAGAAACACGGAAATGCCCCTCAGCAAAACTGCAATATAGATTATTTTAATGTTTGGAGGAATACATATATTAAAAATACTTAAAATTTACATACAAAAATACATTACATTTTTTAAGGGTTTGCTGATCATTATCATAAGCCACTTCAAGTTCTGTTGTATCAAGAGCTGCAACAGATGGGTCTCTGGCTTCATCCATGATCATGAAAGATGTAGTTAAAGGAGTTTCCCATTCATCAGCAATTGAAGTGTTTACTGTGTCAGAACAGGAAGACCTCTCAAGATCATTCACAGATAAATTTGCATTTGTGGCAGATAAAGATAGGGGAGTATGGCATCTAGTGTCATCTACTGCTGGTTCAGGATTAGGTGTGCCAGGGCTGCCAAACTGAGATCTCCTCTTCCTTTGAAAAATTCTGAAAAATAATATATAGGCTATTATCTGTCTAGATCAGTTGACCAAATACAATTATGACCATACCTTTTTAAGTTTTCTTTATATGACACCTTGGGCTTATCCCCTTCATCATAGTACCCAAGTGAAATAAGACGTTCACTTAGGCGTGTCATTTCAGCTGACAGAGAAGAAGCAAAACAAAATTGTTATTACAGTTCAGTTTGTCGAGTTTTAAACTTGAAAAACTAAGTATCTCAGATGAACATCGTAGGCCAGGGGTCTCCAACCTGTAGCTTGGGAGCTACCGATAGCTCTCCACCCACTTCCAAGTAGCCCCCAATGGGATTTCTGATTTATACATTTGTGGTGAATAACTCAAATTTTGTACACTGAATACTGGATAAAGGGTTATGTACTATAAGTATCTAACTGTACCTCATCTACAGCTTGCCATGGCTCTTGAATTTACTACATTTTTAGCAACTGCTACAATTAGTAGCTCTCTGGCATTTTCGTTTTACAAAAGTCGCTCACAGGGGGAAAAAGGTTGGAGACACCTGTCATAGGCCTACAATAGAACTTATTTTCCGCGTGTGAAATGGCGCCATCAAGTGGTGGTAGGCGCGCAATGCGCATTGGCGCATGGGTGTAGTAACTACGATTTAAATACCCAAGGTAATAAATTAGTGATACTACGTCTAACTTTTCTTGTACTTGCGATTGGGTACCTGTTCGCAATACGGCATAATTATTTAATATCGACAAACACACGTGCCTAAGTTATCTTATACTGTAGTGCATTAGCCAACTAAATACAACATTACGCGTACAAAATATCATACCTTTCATTGGCCCTCGCCACTAACAAAGTTAGGGGCGAGGGGTATTGTTCTTCGTCGTTTTTTTTTTTTTTTCCCACATTGAATCGTATTTTTGACCCCCTGAACATCGACGAAAAGTCCCCAAACCGGGGTCCAGATCGATCGGCCCGGCGAAAAATTCGATAAAATGGGCATCGCAACAATGACCCGAGTGACCCGACTCAACAGCGCCGCCTAGAATTGGACCCCTATGGGAGTGGGGACAGGCAAAGTTTGTCGCAGGGAAACGAAATTCGGGACAGTGATAGAGAACAATGAGACAAGCCAAAAGATGAATTGGAGCATGACCCTATGACGAACAGGAAGTCGGTCATATTGGATCAAACATTCGCCGCCGTTTTGACTTGGGGGTCTACAAAAAGATTCAAGTCCCCGGGGTTTGGTCCAAATGAGCTCAAATTTGACATGTCACATCTACAGACATGAACTCACAGAAGTTGCCAAATTTTTTTGGGATACATACTCCTTACGGTTCGCCCGTAGCACGCCGGCGAATAACGCCTTCATTTCCTGTTTTTTCGGTGACCTGTCACGGCCACAGGCATTGTCCGAGAGAACTCAAATTTAAATCACAATTGCGTGATGCTGGTGTGAATGTAATGAAATATGAAATCTACTCTATAGCGCCCCCTAGCATAGACGTGAAATGTCAACATTATCGGATTTATAGCGAGTTTCCTTCCACTAAACAAACAACGAAACTGTAGCTGTAACAAAATCATTTAGTAAAATAAACCAAAAATACTCTTGGTGATATATCGATAGAGCAGCCCACAATATCGATACTGTGTCATCACATTAAACGATACGATATATCGATATTTCAATATTTTTGCACACCCCTCTACTCTTTATCACACGAAGACCACAGTTCTTTAGTTTAAGGTCATGGTTTAAGGTCAAGGGTATATTTCCTCTGTTATTTCTGGCCATTTTTGTTTTATAATTGAGTTGTTTTGTAAGTGTTGCTGTACTTACTGTTACGCAGATAAAAAGTGCGACCTACTCTGTGAAATCTACTCTGTAAAGTCTCCTCTGTGAAGTCTACTGTTTGAAATCTTTGTACGATTTGCTCTGTGTCAAGCTCAGCTAAATGTGCCTTTTCCATTAAGCGATATGTGATTTTCGATTTGTGATTTTCGATTTGCCTACTTTTATAATCTCCCTGAGGCCAAACAAAGCTTTGAGTTAAAGCCCACAAAGCTTTGAAGTTTAGCTTTGAGTTCCGGAGTTGCCATGGTAACAAGGCTTTATGGAACTTTACATGTATGATGTCATCGGCGCCATGAACCTGATGGAACTGGGAGGTTTTCAGGTTCTAGAATGTGATGATGTCATACTCCCAGACGGGGCAAGAGCCACGTTTCCCTGTTGACTGAGGCCGAGTGTTGTTAAGAAGTCACTGATATGAGACAAACCTCGATACAGTGCGCTTTCGATTCGATACGGTTCAGTAAAAAATAAAGGCTAAATCATGGAAAATCTTTGTTAAACCACTTCTTGTGCAAAGTTCATATGAAACACAAACATTTTAATCCTCAAAACAGAGAAAATGTCAAACGAGTTTCCTTCCACTAAACAAACAACGAAACTGTAGCTGTAACAAAATCATTTAGTAAAATAAACCAAAAATACTCTTGGTGATATATCGATAGAGCAGCCCACAATATCGATACTGTGTCATCACATTAAACGATACGATATATCGATATTTCAATATTTTTGCACACCCCTCTACTCTTTATCACACGAAGACCACAGTTCTTTAGTTTAAGGTCATGGTTTAAGGTCAAGGGTATATTTCCTCTGTTATTTCTGGCCATTTTTGTTTTATAATTGAGTTGTTTTGTAAGTGTTGCTGTACTTACTGTTACGCAGATAAAAAGTGCGACCTACTCTGTGAAATCTACTCTGTAAAGTCTCCTCTGTGAAGTCTACTGTTTGAAATCTTTGTACGATTTGCTCTGTGTCAAGCTCAGCTAAATGTGCCTTTTCCATTAAGCGATATGTGATTTTCGATTTGTGATTTTCGATTTGCCTACTCTTATAATCTCCCCGAGGCCAAACAAAGCTTTGAGTTAAAGCCCACAAAGCTTTGAAGTTTAGCTTTGAGTTCCGGAGTTGCCATGGTAACAAGGCTTTATGGAACTTTACATGTATGATGTCATCGGCGCCGTGAACCTGATGGAACTGGGAGGTTTTCAGGTTCTAGAATGTGATGATGTCATACTCCCAGACGGGGCAAGAGCCACGTTTCCCTGTTGACTGAGGCCGAGTGTTGTTAAGAAGTCACTGATATGAGACAAACCTCGATACAGTGCGCTTTCGATTCGATACGGTTCAGTAAAAAATAAAGGCTAAATCATGGAAAATCTTTGTTAAACCACTTCTTGTGCAAAGTTCATATGAAACACAAACATTTTAATCCTCAAAACAGCGAAAATGTCAAACGAGTTTCCTTCCACTAAACAAACAACGAAACTGTAGCTGTAACAAAATCATTTAGTAAAATAAACCAAAAATACTCTTGGTGATATATCGATAGAGCAGCCCACAATATCGATACTGTGTCATCACATTAAACGATACGATATATCGATATTTCAATATTTTTGCACACCCCTCTACTCTTTATCACACTGTACTTTGCCACGAAATATCCAAAAGGTAAACGCACAAATGTTAAACCTGGTATTGAAATGATTAAAAAACTCACTGTTAGAACACAATGGCCACGTTCACATGATGTTTTTTAATTGTTCTGGATTAAATTGTTTGGACTTAAAATATTTTCCTTGGAGTTTACATGGAAATAATAATTCTGAATATCTGGGTTTCATGTGACATTACAGGGCGACGTTTGTCAGCGCGCAAAATCAGATGGAGGGCAAGAAGTGAACCGACTGGAGGGAAATGCCGATGTGTTGTGCAGTTTACGGCTGTGCCAATTGTTCTAACCGAGAGAAGGAAAAGCGATTTTTTTAGAGTACCGAAGATAGTCGTCCACAAAGGTCAGAAATGGGAAAAGCTGACAGAACAACGCCATAAAAAGTGGATTACAAACTAGAGCCCGACCGATATGGATTTTGCTGTGGCCGATATGAAACCGATATAATGGGAGTTGGCGCTGCCGATAGCCGATATAATCACCGATATATTTAGTGATGTAAAAATTCACTGTAAATGTTGAATTGTTTAAAAAACTTAGGTTTGGCTCTGGTGGATTTTAAATTGGGTTTATTTAGGCAACATTTATTGTTATTCTGCCTCTTTACATCATATTTACAGACAGTAGGTTGGCTTAATGGCATTTTTGCATCACATTCTAGACACTAGTGATGGGTATTCCAGTTCTTTTTAGAGAACCGGCTCTTTTGGCTCGGCTCACTAAAAGCTGCTGGTTCTTTTGGCTCCCAAGTGGCTCTTCAGATTGTTTTGTTGCAAGCAGGACTGAATCAGGACTGAACCAGGTCTAAACCAGGACTGAAAAAGGACTAAAAAAAAATATGCTCGTTTTTTTATTTTTATTTTCTTTAATCCTACGTACACGCAAATTTCTCAAAGTTTCGTTTTTAGCCGCTGCCGCTGTCAAACCACGAATCACGCGGCGTGAAGAGAAAAAAAGTGAGAGAAAGAGAAAACACGGCTCCCAATAAGGATCAGGCTCCCGTCGTTCCCTTCAAAGAGCCGGTTCTAAGAGTCATTTCGTTCGCGACGGACCCATAACTAGTAAAGAAAGTAGCGCTATTAGCCTTTAGCCGTAAATACGTGCGCGCCACGGTAATTAATTATATGCGCAAATTATCATAATTCACACATCTGTTCACAGCTCATTTACATATCAGTGCAGGTCCAGTAGCAAATATACGGCCAATATAGTCACTTTAGAACAGACCAATAGAAAACAGTCTGTTTATGTGCGGGAGCTACAGCAGCTAACCCATAACAAATGACAAAAACTAGCTTCAGAGTCGACATATTTCCAACACTCTCCGCTCATACAGGCTCCTCCTCACATCACAATTCTGCACTAATAAATGTCCTTTTAATCCAGACTCAAACAGATTGTCCGTAAAAAGAATATAATCTCAGTGTTTGGATCTGTGTCTGCAGGTGTAAACAAACACATGTGAGAGACGACTCTGTGGTGTGTTCAGGGACAGTACAGACACACACAGACAAATGACTCCGTAGATAAATACTGATGTGGAGCCACATATTAGGACATTTATCTGTCTGTAAATTGGATTAAATGAACAGAATGTAGAGAGTCTAAGGCTCACATGGACGTGTTATACCTCGTTATAAAGCTTAGACTCTAAGCTTTATAACGAGGTATAACACGCCCATGTGAAATATCGGCCCCTATCAGCAAGCATATCGGCCGATATGCCTAAAGTTGCCCATATCAGCCGATAATATCGGCCAACCGATATATCGGTCGGGCTCTATTACAAACCTACGTTTGCGGTCGGGAGGAGCAGAATCCGCAAATGCTCGTGTCTGCAGTGAACACTTCGTCAAAGGTTTGTTACAAAGCTAAATTGTTGTTTGTGGTTTACCTAAACATAAATGAATCATTAATGACTAACGATGTTTGTTGACATTAAATAGTTCGGATAGATCGGTTACTGCTGATACACTGGGGTCCGGTCAAGCGGTAACGGAGGGAAACGGGTAGATTTTTGACATTCAAATAGTTCTCATTCAGAAACTAGAGGGACTATTGAAATAAGTAAAGTATCAGAATGTAGGAAAGAGTTAACACTCCAACAGGGTAAAGTTAAACCTGTGATATTCTTTCAAGTTGTTGACAAAAAATTTAAAAACTCATGTCGGTAACGGAGGGAATGGTCCAAATGAGTTCAGATTTTACATGTCACATCTACAGACATAGCTTCACTCAAATCGTCCATGTTTTTGGGATACTCCTTCCGGTTCGCCCGTAGCACGCCGGCGAATAACGCCTTCATTTCCTGTTTTTTCGGTGACCTGTCACGGCCACAGGCATTGTCCTAGAGAACTCAAATTCAAATCACAATTGCGTGATCCAGGCCTGAATGTGATGAAATATGAAATTTAATAAAAGTGAACTCTATAGCGCCCCCTACCATAGATGTGAAATGTCAACATTATCGGATTAGTACCAAATTCGGGACATAAATTCTATGTATGATTACAAGCAAAAAAGTCTATTACGGACATGATGCATTTTCCACTACTGGCCAGCAGGGGCGCAAAGACTCCCCCAAAAATTTTTTAAAAAATAATTACACACACAGGCTTAGTCCGATTGTGCTGAAATTTGAATCATTAATGCCTGATCATGGCCTGAACATAATACACTATAAAACATATGAAAAATGAACTCTATAGCGCCCCCTAGCATTGACAAACATCAACATTATCGGATTAGTACCAAATTCGAGGATTAAATTCTAGACATGATTACAAGCAAAAAAGTCTATTACGGACATGATGCATTTTCCACCACTGGCCAGCAGGGGCGCAAAGACTCCCCCCAAAAATAGTTTAAAAATGATTACATGCCCATGTTTAATCGGATCGTGCTGAAATTTGAATCACTAATGTGTGATCTCAGCCTGAATATAAAACAGTATAAAACATATTAAAAGTGAACACTATAGCGCCCCCTACCATTGACATGAAATGTCAACATTATCAGATTAGCACCAAATTTGGGGATTAAATTCTACGCATGATTACAAGCAAAAAAGTCAATAATTGTGCACCCCTATGACGAACAGGAAGTCGGCCATATTGGATCAAACATTCGCCGCCGTTTTGACTTGGGGGTCTACAAAAAGATTCAAGTCCCCGGGGTTTGGTCCAAATGAGCTCAAATTTGACATGTCACATCTAAAGACATGAACTCACAGAAGTTGGCAAATTTTTTTGGGATACTCCTTACGGTTCGCCCGTAGCACGCCGGCGAATAACGCCTTCATTTCCTGTTTTTTCGGTGACCTGTCACGGCCACATTATTATCATTAGCGGAGTATAAATATATATACGCCCCAGTCGTCGACCCGATCTCCTCCGCTGATGTTTTATGTCATAAAAACACTCTCTCAGTCTGGTCTGATATTGTTTCGGGAAAAGACCCGGACCGAGCTTTTGTTTCCAGGGCAACGGACGCGCGTCAAGTATTTTTGTCCCGTTTGTTCACGGCGTCAAAGACGCGCGTCGGGGGCGTCTAAACTCAAATGCAAACGCGTCCAAATAGAGGCGTCAAGGCGTTTTTTGACGCAACATGTCAACATTATCGGACTTGGACCAAAGTCGGGGAATAAATTCTATGCATGATTATAAGCAAAAATGTCTATTACAGTCATGGTGTATTTTTCACGGTTGGCCAGCAGGGGCACAGAGAATCCCCCCAAAAATATTGTAAAAATTATTATATGCACATGTTTTGTCCGATTGTGATGACATTTCTATCAGTTATACACTGCATGACCCTTATTCCATTGATATGTCAAATACAGTTATCAGGGATACAGCGCCACCTATATGAATGCACACAATTTATTATTGTGTGACATAAAATTAGTTTTACATTCATTTGTAAAACTTTGCCAAAACATTCACTGACGTACTCCTCATCATAAAAGTCAGTAAGACCTATGCCCTAGTTTTACACTTTGGCCTCTAGAATAATTTCACTTCTGAGAAATTTAAAGCCACACTATGTAACTTCTCTGGTGGAGGATGTGTTTTCATGCACTTAGGGTGTTTTCACACCGACAGTATTTGGTGCGCACCAAACGGTCCATTCGAACCAAAAGTGGTTAGTTCGGTTCGTTTGCGTTGGTGTGAAAGCGTCAATCAGACTCGGACCCGAACCAAATCAAGCGGACCGAGACCTCAAAAAAGAGGTGGTCTCGGTTCGCTTGAATCCGCACCAAATGACCAACTTTGGTGCGGTTCCTCTGGTGTGAACGCGAACCCGGGTCCAAACCATAGACAGTATGGACAAACGGACTATTCGAAATGCATCATGGGAGGGACACGCGTCTCCTCTGCCTGAAATGACGCGCTGTACGACTCCAGCGCAGTAACAGATTGTTGTCCAGACGCAGACGCGATTCATTTTCGAATTATTTTACCAACAATGGCCAATACAGAGAATGTAACACACGAAGATCAGAGCAAGTATCAGTGTGCGAACGTGTGGCTCCAGAGTGAGTCAAAATTGGGGGTGCGTACCCCTGTTCGGGACTTACACGCACAGAGACGACCCGGTGTTCCCCCGTGATCACACAGCAACCAACATTTGTTATTTTAGGCTTTAATTAACCAAATAATTTCACGGCAATAGGCAATCGCCCATTCAATTGATACAACTTAAAAAAGGTCCTGTTTTTAGCCTAGTGTGAGAAATACAGTCGGACTAGATCCAAACCAGAGTCCTGAACCAGCGGGGGCAGCTCCGGTTCCGTCCGGGCTCAGAGGAGCTGGAGCAGGGAGCCTCGACCTGAGAAAGCGCTTTCCCCGGGAAGAACCAAATGCGCGGAGGACGGACGCTCAGAACAACATATAACAAACCAAACTGGACTCACGCTTCTGTCCGGATGCTGCACCACCTTGGAACCAGCCGCGGTTCTTGAGCGCGGAGAACCGGAGCAGCCCACCCGGACCTGTAGTCCACAGCGCATTCTTGCTTTTCCCGCACGGAAACAGCGCGCAGACGACTGAAAGTACCCGCTGGGACTCAATCCATCAAGCACTGGTCTTGCTCGCCACCGTTTGGAACCAGCACATGGAGGACAGAGCCTCCGGACCATCTGACCAACGAACTTGTAACAGAAGACCAAGGACCAGACCCCAGCCCCGTCCTGAGGAGCTGCGCGCTACTGAGAGCGCTGTTGGCTGCTGCTGTTACCCGAACTCTGGGCTGATGCGGTGAGTTTGTACAAAGTTCTACATGTTGCTGTTTTATGAGTTCATGGTGATAATTTGAGATGAGGACGGCCCGTGGTATTAACAGGAACATCGGTGTTGATAACTGGAGTATCGCTGTTTTACCGGGGAAACAAGAGACACGTCAATCGAACCAGTTTTGGTTCGTTTGCCGGTGTGAACGCGGACCACACTGGAGTGTATTTGCTACATAATAACAATTTTATTGCCTGGTGCGAACCAAATAATCGAACTAGCGGTGTGAAAACGTGTGACAGTGCTCTTGACCATTAAAGTCACGTGACCTGTGGCTTAGTGTCTACAGTTTGTCTCTAGAATCATTCACTTTATCCAATTTTAAAGGTACACTATGTCATTTTTCTGGTGGATGAGCTGTTGGCCTCGGGAGCTGTCGGGAAGAGAGAGCGGTGTGTCGGGGCGGTCGCGAGTCCCCGGCATTCGCCGGGGGGGCGGTGCGTGCCCGGGGCGAGGGCCACCATCGCCGCGCGCGGCTTTAATTGCATTTAAAATTAAAAGTCCAAGAAAATCCTCTAACTGATCGTGGCTGTGTTTTTTAGCTGTTGCCCCGACTGTTTCAAGAAACCACAGGTGTTATTGTTTAAATACACATTTTGACTGAGGAAGTGTGCGATTCAACAATTCCAGAGGAAAATAAATGAAAGCATGTAGCTTGCAATGTAATTTTATTTATTTTAAATACAAAATAGTAATCAGATAGGCCTGATTATACAAGCCATAATTATGATCTAGTGAAATGTTATTGTGAGAAAGTGAGCTAAACTACTGGAAAGATTTGTACTGGGGGGAAAAGAAAAAGAATCGTGCTGCATTCCAGCTGTCCTTGTGGATCGGATTTTCAGCCATTGAACCTAACTGGATTTTATTTTTTGACATACAAGAATACTCACATCAGTTAATCAATAGATTTTAGACAGATTACTTTTATAACAAACCTATTAGTGAAAACTTTATTTAAACCAGCTACTTTCTTTTATGGACATGCTTGAGTCTCTTACAAGCTTTTCATTTATTAGCTGAAAATGGTACACATTGTTAGATTGTTAGTTTGGTCTTGGTTCTTGCTCTCAGTAGACAGGATTAATGGGAATTCCTCTTTTTGGAGCGTAAGGCGTTGTTCTCGTCACCATTTTGATGCAGTCTATGATTGGACACACACTAAAGCACAGAGTACAACCAGTGCAGCTGTCGGTCACATACGGGAGGTGAGTCTCTGGGTCAAATGTAATGGCCTGGAGAAAAAAAGATCGAAGAAGAAAATAACAATGGTAAATTTTCAATGTATAATTAATTTCTGTATTTCTAGATTTTATACATTATAGTTGTACCTGATATCCTGAATCATTGCAAGTCATATAACATTTGCCACAGTTGATGCACATTTCTTCATCTATGAGTGCTACCACCTGAACAAAAAAACATTGCAAGTTAGAATGATATATCTTTATGCATGTACTGTACACAATTTTATTCAGGTGTCCATGGATACATTTACCTGTTCAGTGTTGTCAAGTTCCTGGTAAGCTCCTATGTGACGCAATGCTCGAGCTATCACATCCTACATACAAAAAAACAAAATTTCTTTAGGTTAAACTTGAAATAATAATGATACTCCCTTTCTAACATATGTAATTTAGAGCAACCAAGTATAACATGCATCCAGGTTCAAAATAAAGAATCAGTCAAAAAAAATATTCAGACACAGTGGAGGCTACAGAATATATATTTTCAAACTCAAATGATCAAACTATCTAATCTAGGATTTTATGTCTGATGTCTCGGTTAATACTAAGTGTCGCACCTTCACTGCAGGCACAGGTTTCTTGGGCGACTTGACTTTGTTGATGTTGATCTCTGTTACGTCCACTTCACCTGCTTCTCTGAGTTTCTTTTTATATTCAGCAATCACCTCATTCTTCTGTGTTAGGTAAGGCCCAAAGCTGGGGAGACTCTGCACAGATAATAGACATTGAATGCATATTTTAATGTATTTATTTTCTTATATATATATATATATTTTTTTTTTTACATTTTATTTGTTTACCTTTCCTACCAAGTCTTCCAATCGGGGTACTGGCTTCCCTTTTTGATGTTTCTCAGTTGGAGGAGACTGACCATCCCAGTTTTCCAGTTCGAGACTCTTTAGGTACAACAAGGCTTTCAGACCTGCACACAGGAACCACTATATTATCACTACTAAATTTGCATGATTAAAGGTTTCTGTCTCTATTTTTAGTTTTGATTCTCAAGTTGAACATCTATTCAGGAAGCTGAATGAGCTTCTTGCTTTGGGTTACTTTGTTGTACAAAGCTGATCATAGGCATTGAACAAACAGTGATTTACCAAGACAGTAATCTTCAATCACTGTGAAGTCTTGGTTTTGAACAGCGCTGCAGACCTGTATCGTTTATGAGGGAGAATAAAAGAGGAGGACGTGTAAATAAATAATAAGATACAGAATAATAAAATTACAATATCTTTTTAGCATTTTTGAATATAACAGAAGAAGAGTCATTTTCACCTGTAATACTGATGCACCAGCGTGAAGGAACTGCAGCCCTGTCTCTGCTGAATCTATGCCTCCTGTTGCCAAAATGGGGAATCCAGGAAGGGCTCTGGCAATGGCTGAAACCGCTCGAAGGGCTATTGGTCTAATGGCATTACCTGCACATTCAAATAATAGTTGCTAATCAGTTTTTGTTAGGCAAGGCAGACATTAGGGCAGTTGGCTTTTCATGCTTTATAACAAGAATAGATTATTGCTCAAAATCAGCTAAAAAATGTATACTGATATTTTAGACCAGGGGTCACCAAACTTTTTTTATTAATTAAATAATTAATAATAACTCAAATTATTATATGTTATATATTGTTTCTTACCAGACACGCCTCCATACGTGGTACGTTTTCCCACTCCTACTCCAGGCCAGGGGGAACCATCAGCTTTCAAACCCATCATTCCTGAGACAGTGTTGGTGGCTGTTACTCCATCCGCACCTCCTGAAAATAAAAAAAAAACATCCATGTTATATTAAAAAAAATATTTATGTAAGTGTCTTGTTATTTGCTATACCTTCATGGGCTGCTTTGGCAATGTCTACAATATTGGTGACGTTTGGTGTGAGTTTTGCAAAGAATGGGATTGTAGTGGCAGCACGCACCCAGCGGCAGATGTTACGCACCAACACTGGGTCCTAATGAAATGCAAACAAGCACACACAAAATAGTGTCTGTATTTCTTATATATTATGTTAGATTATTTATTTTAGAATTTTTTTTATTGTATACCTGTCCACAAGCCAGTCCCATGCCTCTCTCACCCATCCCATGTGGACAAGACAGGTTCAGCTCCAAAGCATCTGCTCCAGATTTCTAAACATCATAAATAACTGATAATTTGATATTTTAAAAATATACTTTAAATGAAGATTTAGCATGTAAAAACAAAAAGGATTTCATATGTTATAGTTGCATATTGGAATAGTCAACTACAACAAATGCTTCTGTATATATACTGTAGTATATACTTTTGTGTGTACTATTGAATGTGCTGCATCTAGAATTAAACCACCTAAAACATTTACCATTGCACTTTTTTATACTCACCTCTGCCATTATTGCAAGTTCAGTCCAGTCCTCTTTGTTGTAACTACACATTATACTGGAAATAACCACCTGAACGTGAAACAAAAAGTAATATTACTGTTATGTATAATACAGCAATACAATTTTAACTAGAAAAGCACTCAGAGAGCGCAGACCTCCGCCAAGGACTACCCCCATTTTTTTATATAAATTGCGATAAAATCAGTCTTCTGGATCAGATCTGGATCAGCCTTTGGAATATGAAAGAGGATCCCATTGTCCATCCCTGAGTCAAATTTCATGGGGTTTGGTGAATAATTAACCGAGATATTGAGAAACAAATTTTTTGGCCCCATTTACCACAATGTTAACTAAAATTTCAAAGTGATCCAGAATCCAGGATTTCTTCCGGATCACCCCCAAAATGAAATCAGTTCTTCCTTTTCACATTTCCAATAAATCCTGAAAATGTCATCAAAATCGGTCCATAACTTTTTGAGTTATGTTGCTAACTGACAAACAAACAAAAACAAACAAACAAACAGACAAACGCCGGCAAAAACATAACCTCCTTGGCGGAGGTAATAAAACTTAAGTCTTACATTATTTGGGAAGTCTTTCTTTAACTCAGCAACAGATTGACACCAGTAGGCTGCAGTCTTCTCACTGATGAGTTCAATGTTGAGAAATGACCCCTGTCCTGGGCCATACACGTGGCCTGAGGTGGTCCCACGAACAATACGTGGAGACACATTGGTCACCAAATCCTGACGACACATGGACACACGCAGAATTTGAGTAGTCGGTTGGTGTAAATTATATTAGTACATACATTTAAGATTTTCACATTCTATATTTCATTGATAGATCTAGTTTGAAAATATAACTTTTTCTGACAAGTCACCATTTAACACATTATTTGCCCTGTTATGATGTAGACATACGATGTTTTGGCAATGACTTCCTGCCCCCAAATTAAATTCTCCACTACATGTTTTAAGATGCTTGCAATTGTATCATCTGCATTTATTCATTGTAATCTCAAATACCTTAATTTACTCTATAGGGCTTATGTACTGTAAATGTAAATAATGTGAATGTATATTATGTAATGTAAACATTATTACATTTTGTGTATTTGTATATTTTGTGTAATACCAAAACAGCCCAACCAAGTGAACCATCTGCCTCCCAGGAATTTAATTTAATGTCTGTTCTGTCTGTGTTTAATAACCGGGTAGTACCTTGTCCAGTCCAAAGGTTTTGGTGAGAGCAAACCCCCAGCCCTGTTCAAAGGCTCTGCGGATCATGGCTGTACTTGTGGTGGGAGGGGCAGAGGCCAGACCGAACGGATTTGGAAACTTTATCCCACAAACATCAACACTGATGTCTACCAAGTCAATCGCACTGTAGAACAACGGCAGCTTTGGGGCTGTGTCTATGGTCTGTCCATACAATGACTGTAGGAAAACAATTTTAGGACAGGTAAAAAAAATAGAATAAAAAAAATACACATTTTAGATACACAACATCTACTTCTTAACAAGTACTACAACATACCACCTTTTTTATAATCTAGACATGTAAAAAAAGAACAGACATACAAAAAACACATAATGCAATGTTATGTGCAAGTACAATTGTATTTCATTGTCAGTTATGTCAGCTATAACTACTAAATAAGTACCTATATTTAAAATTCTATCCAGGTATACATTTTTATCTTTAATGAACAACATTTCATGTATCCTGTCAGCTAAATATAGTATAGCTTTTGCTCAAACAGAGATAATGGAATGAAATGTATACCAAATTATGCCAAAAACAGTTAGGTCTTCTCATTAACATTCAAACATATGAATAGCTCAAATGATTTGTTTTTGTTCCATATGTCATCCCTTTTAAAAACTTATGTTAATTAAAAATGAAAGCCAGTTGTACCTGTATGTACCGGTGTATGTGCCAGGAGGCCTGTTTGCCGTCATTGGTCGACTCCACTGTGGTGTTTGCCAAACCAGCAATGTCTCCCCCAGCGAAAACCCAGGGCTCCGAAGTCTGCATCGTCTCCGTGTTTATGTCAGGAGTGCCCCAGCGATTCATCTTCACAGGGGACAGGGCCTCCGCCACTGCACACAAAACAGTCAACACACAGTCAAGAGGAGGAATAAAAGACACTTGAAATTTTATTTTTTGTTACTGTAATAACAGCAACATCCCTGCAAATATGAAAGATGGAAATATGATATGAATGAAAAATACAGTAGCATCACATGCCACAAGTGCTCAGGAAGTAAACAAAATTAACAACATACTGTATGAGCAACCCTCTTACTTTACGGTTTTCAGAGAGGGCAAACAGAGAAACTTTTGTTATTAAACAATTTGCAAAAATGACAGATTCAGAGTTTGTTTCTAAATGTCTTTTCAAACATTTACTCTTCTCTATTGAATGTGGTGGCAACAGAAAAGATGTTGATGTTTAGGTGCAGTCCATGATTTTTATGTAGGACTACAATTTAGAGTGGCTATCCACAATGCACTTAAAAACTTGAGTTTTACTCAAGTTCTACTTTTTTGAACTGGGATCCTTAACCTGACCAATTATTGTTATAATGTGATTGCTTTACCTGTTTCAAAGCAAAGGGGAGTGGTGACACCACCAGCCCAAGTTGCAGGCCAGATTTATGAAGAGGTAAGCCTACACACAGTAAGAATGTTTTTGGGCAATAAAAACTCCTGTATTTGAATAAATGTAAGATATTTAAGTTTATTGTCATAATGTGAAATATTCCAAGCATAGCAGTAAAAACTCCATGGTCACATAGTAGCTTTAATAGGTTTTTTTGGTGTTCTGTACCTTTTGGGTCATCCAGCATGGAACCGAACGCGCTGATGATGTAGTCGGCCTTCAGCCGGACGACCTGCTCCTCATCCTCAATCCACTGTCCATCCTCCCTCTGCTCTGTGCGACAGAACTGGAGCCCCGCCACTCGCCCGTTCTTCATGATCACTTCGCGAGGAGACAGGAAGGGCAGGAACTCACACTGCTCCCTTTGGCTAACTCCATCTGAAAAATGTTTTGTGATGTTCATATTTTTCTAACATTGGGATGATGGCTGGTTTGACAAAGTCTAACGACAAAGATTTTTACTTTCTCTTTAGATGTAATTGTATGCTTTTCTGTGCAACAAAGGATAAGCACTTCATCACCAAACATGGCTTTCAAATGTCAAACAAACAAAAGCACTGTTTCCATACTGACCTTATATTTGTGTCCATAGCATGATGACTGATAACAACATGACTAAAACCCATGTATAAGGGGGGTCCATTTTATTATTAAGATAAAATTAGGAGAGAAAGATTAATTTAATTTAACTCAGAGATTTTTTTATTAAAATCAATATTGTTTGTGCCGTCAAATTGACAATTACACTATGTCAGTAACAAACGCGCAGTAAAAACCTTAGTATATACTCAATTTAGTTCTACTCCAGGATGACTTATACCTCTTCTGGCACAGCCCTGATGTTGGTGAATCCTTTCCTGAACACAACGTAGACTCTGCGAGCCCCACAGCGCAGAGCAGAGGTAGCACAGTCAAACGCAGTGTCTCCAGCTCCCAAAACTATCACCACTCCTCTCAACTCAGGCAACAAGGAATGACACTGGCACATACCTGCAATTGTGTACAAAAATTTAAATCTCACTGCATTACTATAAAATACAATATGAAGTCTGTGTGTGTTTGACTGTACCCTTCTTGCTGGCTGTGGCCACCATCGGCAGGAAGTCCTTAGACGTAAAGAAACCTTGTTCTATTGTTAGACCCTGGAAGATTTTTGCTCGGTTGGCCTGAGGAAGACCTACAGACACAAACATAATAATCCATGTATATATTTGATAATAAACATTTCCTTATATCATTGATTTCTGTTAGGCTTACCAATTCCAATAAATACAGCCTTGAATCCTTCTTCCTTCAATGATGTCAGAGTCATTCCACCAATACCAAGTCCATTCTCACACAACACCTACACAATATGAACATAATAGAAATTTTAACAATAGGCCTATACTACAGAGATACTTTATATATAGATGTTTATGTACACACCTTGACTCCTAGGTCTTTCATCAAACTGATCTCAAACTGAACCACCTCAAATGGAAGTCTGAACTGAGGGATTTCTGATGTACTGGGAAAAGACCACATAGTATGCAATATTGCATATGACTTATTTAATATTATAAAGCAATTTCTCAAGTTAATTAACTATGCATTATGGGAGATCTGTATTTATGAATTAGAAATTATAGTAATAATGCATATGCAGGGACAAATCAACTAAATAAAACTGGCACTAAATTAAAAAGCCTTCTAATACAAATCCCGTACCTCAGCCCCCCAGTGTACTTTTGTTTTTCAAATATAGTGATGTTGTCATATCCGAGGCGGGCTAAGAAGGAAGCACAGCTGACGGATGCCGGGCCGCAGCCAATCAGAGCGATTGGAGCGTGGTACGACTCTGGCATCTCACTGGCCGGAGGGAGCTCAGGGTTTCTGATTTGAGGGATGCCCATTTTACTGAACACCTGATGAAACAGCAGATTTTATGTCAGTTACTGAAGTTTATATTTCTGATGTTGTGTCTGTCAATTCAATACTATATCTAAGGACAGGACAATAGGAATGCATTATAAAGGTGCACTACAGAGCGTCACCACCTGCCTGCCTCTGTGGAGATGTTGCTGTTTTGCCTGGACTGATCCCCACAGTACAGCATTAAACATAAAAATACCAATCTTCATCATCAAGTTTTTATTTTTTCTATAGCAACACTTTAAAACAGAATAAGGTGCAACAAAAAAAATAACTTTCATAAACCTGGTAATAGAAAACTTGATTCAGATTTAGATTTTCAAAAGACATCCTTTGAATACCACTTATTTATCATACCTCTGTGGCAAATTGCTGCAGCCCCCCAATGTTGATGGGCCCCTCCTCGGAAGCGTAAAGGTTACACCCACCGACACACAGCTCTGACGTGGGACACACCATCCCACAGGTGAGGCCCAGGGGGTTGTCTGACAAGATGGCCTTGGCTGCCCCATAGTAGTTCTGATAAATACAAGACACATATACACAAGACATTTTGAGGGGAGCATTAATAGGAGAGGCCTTACTATTAAAATGTAGGTTTACCTTATTCGAAATACTTGTGATAAAGGATTTGATGTCCAGGTTTGTAGGGCAGCTTTTCTGACAAGGGGCATCAGCACATTTGAGACACCTAAGCACAAATTTATGTCAGAGAAATAAGTTAGAATCCTCCTGCTTGAAATACTGCTTTCCTATTTCATAACAATGACCACTATAACATAAGTAGTAACTGTATTTTTATTTAAACCTGAGTGCTTCTCGCAGAGCTCCACGTTCACTCAGTGTTGTGTGTTTGATGTCATCAAAGTTGTTTTCTAGCTTTACACAGGACTAAAAACAGAGACAATTTAATCATATTAGATTTGATTACTCTGATACAAAGAGCATGTATAGGCACACTCACATCACAGTTTCTGTCCTGGTTTCTTTTCCAGTGTTTCTTCTCTTTCTTCTTGTTGGATGTGGACATGATCTGAGCATGACTTTTCACCCGGGGGTTAAGAGCCAGGATGCTCTAAATAATAAATTGAACATTTTAGGTGCACAAAGCAATGCCAATTCCCTCCTGTTCAAATGTATTATTCCTTGATTGTATTCTATTTTTTACATCATTGTTTTGTTTTCTTGTAATGTGAAATATACTTGGCTGTCCAAATAGCACAACATAAGTTTGGTTATTATTATTTTTAGAATTATATAATACTATACTATTTACTATGCACACAATGCACCAAACCCAAAAGAACTGCTGCAGAAAGTTTACTACTACTTAAGATTACATAGCTGAGGTTTCAGAGATAAAAAGTGCAGCCAAGTCACTGCTCACTATTACTCCGACTCTACAGACCCCCTTACTTAGGTCATTAAGTTTACAATTGGTTTGATAATGTGTTTGCCCTGAGATGCTGACCACTTGAATGTATTGCCCAATTGCTCCATGTGAGTCAATATCCCTCAACAATGACCATGTGTCCCTTACCTAACCACTAATGCCCCTCTACATAACACTGTAAGAGGTTACAACAGGCCACACAATCCAACTTGGTTTTAACTATTCAGCTCAAAAATAAAGTGCAGGGCAGAACAAAAAGATAAATTAATGTTACAAGTTACTCTTAAATAAAAGCTTAATATTAAATTAAAATAAAAGTTTAATAAATCAGAAGTTTCAATAATTTTTCTGTTTGGTTACAGGAAGGAAGGAAAGCAGTTGCACAGTTTTAATTTGCAAGTTAATTGGTGAGGGAGCTGGTACTGAGTTACAAATTAATCTCAAAAGATAAGGTACAAAATAACTTTAGAAACTAAAAGTTGATGATGAGACATTCAAAATATTTCAAACATCTGTACATCCATGCACTGTTAAATAGTAATGTAGTTAACTACAATATATAAAAGGACTCATGTATAAATCTAAAATATTTCATTAAATTAACTGCTGATAATTATTTAATTCTATGCTTCTGAAATAAAGAAAATAAATGCTTACATAAACAAAAATGCAAATGCAATGCAAAATCTAAGTGACATGATAACAAAGTAGACAGGAATACCTCAATATCTGGCAGATCTTTGCTCAACATAATGCCTGCTGATCCTTTCTGACAAATGATTTTCTCTGCTTTCTTGAGTCTTCTGGCTTTGTGGATAGAGGTCCGAAACACTGTCCGGGACAACTCGTCTCCTCAAAAGCAACTGCGACTGATGTGTCTTCTCTCTCTATGTGACTAGAAAGTTTCACAAAGACATGCTTTCTTCTGTTGCACGAGTCAAAGTTTAAAGCTGTGTCTAAGTTCAAGGTTTCTGCTTCAGCAAACCAAACAGTGGCAGTAGTAATCTTCTGGGTCCAAATTCCAACTCCAGTTCGAATAAACCTGCACTGACATTTCGTAGAATAACAAGCCTGCCAGGGCAAGTCAGATAAATCAATATGATAATAGTTAGTGATAATTAAGATTCAATAAGATTAAATTTATGTCCATATGAATTTAGACTCATATTCTTCACATTACTAAAATTATTCTGCTAAATGTTCTGTGATGGAAATGCATGTGAATTCAGGTTGTGAAGAAAATATTCTTATCATATATCTTCAAGAAAATACATTTGATCTATTCAAGAGACTCAGAACAGTCATTAACATGTGTGACACAGCTATCTCCACCCTCCAGGAAACCCTTGTTGTTGTTGTTTTACCTGTCTTCAAGTGTAAAAGTTGATTAGCTTATGGCTGTGAAAAAAGTCACTTTGCTTTGATATGTATGTAGTTTTATAATTCTAGTATAAATACTCAGAACACAGATGCTCTGGGGGAGGCTGCCGGTCTGTGGCCAGGGAAGGCATGGGTGGTTGTAACAAAGAATAACCCTTTTTGTATTTTGTAACTCACCAAAGCTTACCATCAAGATATATTTCCACAACAGTTGATAATACGAAAATGCTCAATATTTGATACTACTACAAAAAAACAAAAACCCCACTATACAGGAAAAACATAATTTTCTTAACTATATTATATGATCACATAGAAATATCAGACATAGATTAAGACCGTTCTGAAGCTATTGTTAAAAGGTCAAATTTGGCCACATTTATGCTATTTCTTTCAGGATTAATCTAGGATCTAGTTTCATTGAGAATTAATAAATCATTAATTAATTAGTTTCAATACTGGTTTCAGTATTAGTTTTAGTATCTGGGTACCCATTTTGACAACCCTATAGGATTAGGGTTGTTATGAGTACTGAAAATTTAGTTACTTTATGTTTACATACATTTAGCCAGTTTTTTGTATTGCAAATATAATATATATTCAAAATATTAGATTACTTCCCTGTTCAATGTTTTTCTGCATGAGTATAAGTCATGATTGCACACAGTGAACAGTGCTGTAATGTTTGTTTATGTTGACTATGTGACTCAAATTATTGAAATGCAATTAAGTCATTTGGTTTTACTTTATTGTGGACGGTGTGTTAAACATCAGTGAGGTACAGAAGTGAGGCAGCGGTGGCGAGTAAGGCGACTGCAGAGGCCATGACAACACCTAAAAAAAGAAAAAAAGAAAAAACAATAAATTATAGAGATGTCTGTGTAATCCCTCAGTCGTCCAGGTAAGATCCATATCTGAATTCAATTTTTTGTTTGCGGTGGATCATACCTTGAATTTTTGAAACAAATTATTAAATTAAAGTTGTCAAAATATTTGATAATTGTAAACTCAACTCAGCCAAGATGGTGAGTTATATTGTATAGTTACATATGTCTGTGATCCTGATTAGTGCTGAAGTAAACTACATGCCTTGGATTATGTTTTATCACCGAAAAGATAAATTTTTTGTAATCTCAGTTTCTTACTGTATTCAGTTTAGGGAGCAAAATTGTTTTGTGTAAATATAATGTATTTTACCAATATAGTTGTTCTTCTGGGGTATAGGGTCTTCAACCTTTTCCTGGATAGGGTCTGTAAACAAAAATATTTGATATTGTGGTGTCATTGTACTGTTGAAACACGGATGTCCAAAGTCTAAGACAGACACTCGTAAATTTACACACTAACCACACCTTTACAGAAGATTTTATCAATGGCAGTTAAAGTGAGCTTTATTACAACAAACCGATTACATGAGAGGATGTGATGTTTGCAAAATGCAGCTCTGCAGAGGAAGAATTTTAACGTAAGAAACTACATACAAGTATGGAGAAGTAGTTACAACTAATTATACAAATATAAATTCTTTGGTAGATTTCATAGGACTGACTTCACTATACTATAATAAACAATTTGCATTAGACAATGTGGATGAAAGAAAATAAACTTTTTATCTATTGTTTGGCCATTGTGTTAAATCATTGTTTTAAAAAAATCATCTCAATAATTTAATTACTCAAAAATGTTATATGGTGACATCCCTGAAGGTGAATGTAGAACAATACAGTGGTTTGTCCTCCCACCTGCTTTACTTTCAGTTTCTATGTTGATATTTTCAGGTATGATTTCTTGAGTTGTGTCGATATCTTCTTCTGCCGCATCAAGATCCAGCATCTCCTTCAGTCGCTCAGTGGCCTCTGAGGGTCCTTCGTCACTGAATTGATAATCACAAACAGAAATCGGACCCCTCCCCTTCAACGGGCAGAAGATACGCCTGGGGATGAAGAGTTCATCTAAAGGAAAGAAAAAACATCTCGTCAGTCGCACGGTTAAAAACTAAAAATGCAAACAGTGTCCATGATTTATGAACTATAGTGAGCTACTTAAAAAAAAACTAAACAAAAAAAAACAAGACTGGTAATGAAGAATGTGGACCTTTTTTTGTTCTGGTCTAATCCAGGTTTCTGGGTTTAGTCTCTTGAGTTTTTTAATATATATTTTTCACAATAACCACCTATGAACATTTTAGGTAAAGGTGTTTCGAGTATTTCAGGATTTTAACGGAAAATTTAATAACTCTGTTAAGACAGGTAAAATGATATATTTACACAAGTCTAATTCCTGCCTTGTGGATTGGCTGATCTCTCACACCCATCACCAAGACCCTGACCCTGTCTGCAGTGTCAAGCCCTGCATGATAATACCTCCAAAGTTGTTATTTTGCCCCTCTGCTGTCGCAAGCTCCTCCAAAAGCATATGAACCCTTGTAGCCACTGTAGAAATAATGTCTCTCTTTAACAGCTGGAATAAATAAAGTATTCAAATATAAATATAAAAATATTCAACATAGGCATTGGATAGTTCAATCAAATTAGGTTGTTTACCTTCTCATACAGTTTGGCCTTTGGTTTGTTGCTGTGCACATAAGCTCGACAGTGGATAGCTCCCTTGATGGATGCACTGCCTCCACACTTCTGCACCACATCGCTTATCCGCTGTTCACACTGGACTCAATAAGACGCACCGATGTATAATGCAATGGACATGAAAACCAAATAAAATATACACGAACAATGTAAAAACAATGTAGTTGATAAAAACAATAACAACAACAAAACTGTTCAAACTATAGTGTATATATTCATTCTTACCGGGGAAATTAACAATTGAACTGTGTATGTTTGCTTTGCATTCCTCCTCTACAAACAAACAGGACAAATTATACGTCATTCATATTTGCAGCTATTATTATCAATTATCAATTTTAGTTCCAGAATCTGAAATATTTTACCAAGAAACAACATTTTCAAAATAATTTACATCCTACCTGTCCTGTAGTAAGTTCAGCATCATCTGGAATCCTTTTGCCATCAAGCAAACACACTCCACTCTCAATTTGCTGTGCCCAGATCTGAAGTTCATTCTAAAACAAAAAACATCATTTAGAAATAGGTGTATTGTAGATTGTTTATAATGTGGCCTACAGGCATTCAAACCTTAATGCATTTCTCTATTGTTTCTGGGGTGTTTGGGCCAGTTGGTAGCGAGAAATATAAGTTGACATTTAAGCAACAGGACACAGTGATCCATGATGAACACACTCCAGACTGATATTTCCAATCAGCAGGCTTTGCCATACTCTGAAAAACAGTGAGTATAAAAGGCACATCAGCCCATTGAGGAACACAACACATCTTTATAAACAAGACTGTTGTTTTCTGCTATGCGTCTATGATTAAGCCAAGGAATTCAGATGACTAAGCCCTAACCTCCACACAATTTAGTACTGATTTGGAAAGAAAAAACAAGTACTAACCTTTGGGTCTTTAACGTCAAAGGTTCTACACAAAGTTCTGTAGAATTAGGTTAAGAAACTGTATTATGCCCAAAGAGTCCTTAAAACCAGCAATAATGTCATGGAAAAGGATACTTTCTTGTTTTGGAGTTGATGTGCAAAGTCACACAGTCTGTAACATCATCATCCGCTGGGCTCCAGAGACGCTCAGAAGAGATGAGGTTTTCCACAGAAAATACCAACTAGACACAAATAAATAATAATTTTACTTTAATTTAGAGGCAGAGATTGTAACATTGCTTAAAGATTGACAATGGTTGTTTACCTGTCGCAGAGTCGTTTGTGTGTCTTTGGCATCAACTTCAGTTATTATAAAAACTCCCAAAACAGACAAGCCTCCAGGCAGCATCCGGGACACCTATGAACCATTGAAAAGTTAAAGTTACATCACATGTTAAGTAGATTAATGTCATTAAGTGTCTTGAGCTGTGAGACAGCTGCAGAACATCCAGAAAGCTGCAGCTCGGGTCCTTACTCGAACTAGGAAGTATGAGCACATAAGTCCTGTGCTCAGGTCTCTGCACTGGCTTCCTGTGGCTCAGAGAATAGACTTTAAAGCAGCTCTGCTTGTGTACAAGTCTCTCCATGGCCGAGCACCAAAGTACATCTGTGACATGTTAGTGTCATATGAACCACCTCGCACTCTGAGGACCTCAGGGACCGGCCTTCTGCTGGTGCCGAGAGTCAGGACTAAACAAGGGGAGTCAGCGTTTCAGGTTCATGCAGCTAAAACCTGGAACAGTCTTCCTGAACATGTGAGACAGGCCTCTTCTGTGACGCTGTTTAAATCCAGGCTCAAAACATTTCTGTTTAACTGTGCATATAACTGAAAGGTTTTCATTCCGCACTCTTCTCTCCAATTTATGTCTCTCTTTTTAAAATTTAAATCTTCATGATTATTTATGTTTTGATTTGTTTTTATTATGATTTTAATGTATTTCTTATTCTGTAAAGCACTTTGAATTACTTCGTGTACGAATTGTGCTATACAAATAAACTTGCCTTGCCTTAATACAATGTTATTACTAATTTTGTCTACCTGGCGGGCATGCTCTGTGACCCAATCCTTATCCAACGAGTTTCCAGTTGAGTCTTCTTTAGGAGGTGTTCTTGAAGCCATAACAATGTAATCCCTCTGAGCTGAACTCTGCAATAAAGGATTTATTGTAAATAATGCATTACAATATTATGACAGAGTGACAAAGACAGTTACCTGTCCAATAAGCAAGCCTGTGATTGTAGTCGATTTTATTTCACATAACTGAGACAGATAACTCTCCACAGCATCTTCAACAACGTACCCACGACCCATGTTTTCTAGATAAAAAGAGTAACAGAACAGTGTACACAAGCACGCTGTTCGGACAATTATGTTAATCAAGCGTGTAGAAGGTATTCTCCTCGCGGTTGGTGTGATGTGAATTAGAAAGTAAAAGCTTTAACACAGCAACTTTATTCAGCTTTAACAAACAGTCAGGTTCACACCACTATATAAAATGTGTTTTCTGAAGGCTTACCTTTGACTTAAAATGCTGACTACACCGAAAAGTGCACTATAAACCTTCAAAATGTTCGTAGTCCATGCCAGCTGGCATTTAATCGTGGTTGTTCGTCAGCAAAGCAAGAAAACTACATTTCCCAATATGCTTTGTGCGTCTGTGGATTTCCGTCTCATATATTTTACGTAAGTGAATCAAGCGCGAACATTTTTATGCATATCCTACATGGATCTATCATCATTTGGAACCAAATATTAATCATTTCGGGTCTTTTTTTCGGTCTTTATATGGGAACTATTATAAAGTCGGCCAAGTTTGCGAATTTGTAAAAAAGAGCCTTTATAGCGATGATCTTCATGGTAAATGAATAAATGATATTAACGATTTTGTGCCCTAATGATCGGATATTATCGAAATACCCATATACAATATTTAATTAATATCTACATATGCCACTTAATCGGTATTTGTTGTCATTTTTTTCTAGTAAGGAAAGTTTATGATGAAGGAATAGATTACACATCCGGTCCTCGTGCCGTGCGACTTTACACGTTTTTATCCTTAGCGGGTTAAACACGAGTCCTACAACTACATTTCTAAAGTTTGTTCTGCATTTCCCCACGTTTTGGGTGCTGTGGGACTTTGGTGGAGATGGCGGCCGTCCTGCTGCAGGCTTTGGAGCGGACGGAGCTGAACAAACTTCCCAAAGGCATCCAAAACAAACTGGAGAGGTTTGTTACGGAGCTCCAAAATGCTAACGAGGCTCTGAAGACCGAGCGGGAGAGACTCAAAGCTGACAGCGGTATGTCCCATTCAACCTCCTAGATAACACGTATAAGAGATATTTTTTACTAATTAAGATTTTAATTTTAGGACCAGATTATTTTTAAGATTGTCAGATGAATGTATGATTTATGATTCAATAATGTGTCCTCATGTTAGCCCTCTCATTTGAGCTAACTTATTTAGTACTTGATCGTCATTAAAAAAAACACCTAAATGTACATTTCATTTGATATTTAAGTGCCATATTATTTAGTTGCAGTATTTTGAGGCTAATGCACTAACTAGACGAGAAAATGGGCTATGTTGGGGTATTGTGAAAACAGTCTTATTTATCTGTATAAACTAAAGACTAAATTTTTGAGACTTTGCACAAACAGTACATTAATACAATCCTCATTATGCTGATATTGCTCTGTGCAAATACTAGTAGATTAAACTGACCACATAATATCTTCCTTTTATAAATTTAGACTATTTTTGTGTCTACAGAGCAACAGTATTTTGACATTGAAAAGAGACTTGCAGAAACTCAGGAGCAGTTCCTCACATCCACAAAGGACTTACAAAGCGTGAAAGAGGAAAACAAAAAACTAAGTAAGTTTGAAACACTTGCTGCTGAGATAAAGCTGTATTATGTTAGTCTGTCACTGATGGGCTTCATTTGTCCAGATGAGGAGCTGAGCACTTTAAAGGGAATAGAGGGAGAATCAGCAGATGAAAAAACATCTCAACCACAACAGGTATACATTACTTGACTGTGATGAACGTGTTGAATATTATTTTTGTTATTTCCTTATAACAAAACAAATGCTTTAACACAGCAGACCAAAACAAAATATGAAATTGAAGCTGAGAAAAGGGAATTGGCTCGGTTGCTGGAGAAGAGGACACAGGAGGTGGAGAACCTGAATGGTAATAATTCTAAATATTAAATAACAATCAACAAATTTATATCTACATCCAATTTGTGATGATATATTTGTGCAGAGGATTTGACACGACTGAATGAGAAACTGGTTGAGACAAACAAAATCAAGATGGATCTGCAGTTGAAACTGGATGAGATTCAGTCGTCTGAAGCCTCTGTGCAACACCGGGAGAAACGCATGGAGCAGGAGAAAGAGCTACTTCAACAGAAAATCGACTGGCTCACGTCTGAACTGAAAGCAAAGACTGACGAACTACTAGACACGAACCGAGAGAAAGGAAAACAGATAGTTGAGCTACAATCAAATCTGCAGACCTGCAAGGAAGAGGTAAAGCTTTTATTCAATAGGAATGCAATGCCATATTGTGGCACTGCAGTCATCCCCATTAACATTTTTTAACTATTATACTTTAGGTGTCCAGATTAGAAAGCCAGTTGACCTCACTAAAGGATGTCAGTGAAAGTCAGACCAAGAGATCAGAAGACCTCAACAACAAACTGAAAAAGGTCATTTTAGCAATTTTTTTAATCAAAAGACACATTGATTGACTCTACATTTTTAAGCCAGTTGGATATATTTGTACTAAAATAGATTGAAATTAATATTCTAATATAATACAACTAATAATATATATTTTTTCTTTTAGGCAAAAGAGGAACACTGTGCCATGGAGGAGAAATATCAGAATGAACTTAATGCACGGATTAAATTGGTTTCACTACACGAGGTCAGTCTCTATCTAACCTATTTATTTACTAAGACTGTTTATTACTAATAAATGTAGGAAACATTTACAATAACTGATTATACCTGTAGAGCACAGCATCTGAAATGAAGGCAAAGAACAATGAACTGAACAGCGCTGTGGAGGGCCTCAGTAAGATGGTTAAAGAGACAGGAGAAGGTAATGAGGAATTTTTAAAAAACTATTCAGCAAACTGTGTTGTTTACTATTCTGTATTCTGATAATCTAATAATTATGGCAGCCAATAAAGTCCTGGAAAAGAAAGTCTCAGAGGTGGAGGAACAAAAGACGCAGCTTGAGGCTGAACTCCGAGAGAAGATAAAGAAAATGGAAAAGGAGCTTGAGAATGTATCAGTGAAGGCTGCTGGCAAACACTGCTGTAAGAAGAATACACTGATTATGTTAATGTAATTAAGTTTTAATCATACTTAATACAGATCTTTTCTTTTAGGTGCACAGTCATTAACAGAGGAGCAGTTAGATGCTATGTGTCCCTCAGCAGCCGCCATCGCTGCCATTGTCAAACCTGGCATGAAGTTTTTTGATGTAAGATTCAAAATGACAATACTACATTCTTCCTGATTATAAATTAACTGTGACTCTATTTTCTCTGTATTTTAGCTGTATAATGCATATGCAGAGTGTCAGACTCAGCTGCAGCTTGAGAAGCAGGAGACCAGGAGAGTCAACCGGGTCCTGGATGAGATTGTTCAGGAGGTTGAATCTAAAGCACCAGTCCTAAAACGACAGAGAGAAGAGTACGAAAGCATGCAGCGGTCCATGGCTTCACTCTGTAACAAACTGGAACAAGCTCGCTCGGTCTGTTTTTAAATATAGCTACAATATTAAATTAACATTTACTTAGAACTGATAACTAACAGGAGTTTGTCAACAGGAAATATATAGTCTACAGAAAGAGAAAGATGAGGCAAAACAAAAATGTGATGTCCTTGAAAGGGAGAAGAGTTGCACAGAAAGACAACTTAATGACACATCTGCACAGGTGAAGCCAAAATTTAACTTTTCTATATGTATAATTTCACTTTATAACTTTTCTGGGTGATGGTACACCACAAGCTTTTCTCCCCCAGGCTGTGTTATTGCTTTGCCTGGGAGGTTCCTTAGCATTAAAAGCAATAAGCAAGAGAGACAAGCTTTAAGTGCACAGCCATCTGAAAACACGGTGCACCTTTCAAATTTAGTGCAAGACAACTGGCATAGAATACTTTTTTCTTTTTAATATAAAAATCATATTCTTCACACAGTTTTTTTTTTTACTTTTGATTGCATACACAAAGACCTAAATGCTTTTTAAGCGTTCCTTGATTTTGCCTTTCCAGGTGTGTACTCTCCTTATGGAGCTGGAAGAAGCACGTGGGAATCAGATTATCAAAAACGAAGGCAGCTCCACTATGGGGGAGGGCCGGCCACAACAAGTGTCTTTTTGTAGCATCCAGGAACTTCAACAGCAAAACCAAAACATTCTGAAAAAACTGAAAGAACTAGAGGATGAGAAGAACAAGAAGCAGACCAAAATTACATCAGAACGGTAGATATCAGCCATTTTCATACTGTAGGAATCTATTGCTGTATTTCAGATTATATCATAAGATTCTATAGGGCAATATTATTTAATACAGTTGGGGCAACTAAAATGAATATAGTTAAAATGCTGATTTTTTCCTTGTAAAATACTGAGTAGACCCTAGTCAACTCAGTCTTAGAATTGATCAGATTCAACATGTGTGCATTCACCTTTAGAATATTTCATAGAATCTGAAAACCACAATTTACAAAAAAATCTCCCCCCAAATTCAAAGGAATTTTATGTAATAAATACCTTTTCTAACTACTACTTCTTTTCTTTTTAGAGTGTCTGAGTTGGAGACCAGTGTAGATAACCTGCAAAAAGAAATTGTACAGCTAAAAGAGCAGAGGAACCTGCAGAAACAGTTGGCTGATTCTAATGCCAGACAAAGGGACATGTACAAGGCGTTACTGACACAGAGTACTGGCTACACGCTGCCTCCTCAAGGTATTAATACACTACAATGAGAAATTGAAATTGTACAAATATACCATATACAAATAGCTGTTACTTTTTACTTTTGTACATCTACTACTTTCTAATTTCTAACAAAATTGATCAAGTTCACCTTTTTGTCCATACCAAATTTTAACTGACATTAATATTATTGTCGTTTGTTAGTATCAAGAATTGTTTCACAAAACAAAAGTAATCGCATTTTTTCGGTTTATCTGTATTGTACTTCACCAGTGGTTTTACATTTGCAAAATTAGCAATTAGTAGTACACACACACACGCGCACACACGCGTACACACGCACACATACGCACACATCATACTGCTACTTGCTTTTATGATAGGTTCCACATTTAATTTATTTACAAATGTTCCTATTAATACTGCAGAACACTATAAAATGTGTGTCATGTTGTCGTAGGACCAGAGTCTTTGACCCAGTCGGCTCAGATTCGCCCTTCACTCCCAGCCACCCGCTCCATGCCACAGAGAGCAGCTGCTGTGGAGTCCGCACAGACCGCCCAGGCTAAAGCTGCCTTAAAACAGGTACAGAAAATTAACATGCTTTTTACTCTATGAATCTTTTTTAGAAATTACTTCATACAGCACAGTGTAGCTCGGTTTACTTTACCTAAAAACTCCTTACATTTACATTTCCAGCTTAATGATTCTTTCATGCTGTATAAGAAGGAGAAAGCAGAGAATGATCGAATGCTTAATGAAACAAATGAAAGATTACGGAAGCAGTTATCTGAGCTCTCCTCCAGAAATGCCAAACTCACTTCTCAACTCGATTTCAACATCAAAAGGTACGTTTTTCAACCAGTAGAAAGATATACCGCATACCAACAACAAAGACTGATAAACAGTGTGTGTGATTTATGAGTAAGGCAAAAATATTGATCTCACAGTTGATCTTTTCAGTTCATGAAGAAATAAGGTGTTATGGTTTTAGTAGTGGCTAAGTTGATGACACTTGGTCAAAACACGTAATTATATACATAACATTGATTAATAGGATGGTGGTTATAACGTTTTACCTGACCAGAATATTTAGCTATTTATATTTTACTTATAATATTTTCATTTTTCAGATACGACATGCTCCAGGAGAATCTAGCTGCATACCGCAGAGAGATTGCAGCTCTACAGGACAGGAACAAGAAAATGGCAGCTACCGCCCAGCGTCAAGAACATGCTCTCCTCACAATGAGTCAAGATCTTCGGCAGGTCAATGAGAAACTGGCACTGGAGGAGGTATGTAATACTTTATTAAAGCTGTGATGTAATAAATACAATACACAGTACTTTATATATCATTGGTATTTTTATGTTTTTAGGTTCGTGTACAGAACTTGACCAAAGAAAAGGAAATGCTGAGACAAGCGGAGAGTCGACTCAGTAAAGAAAAGGAGGCCATTTTGATTGAACAGCGTAACCAGAACTTACTACTGACCAACCTTAAAACTATACAGGTACAGTAACAATTTACACTGCTTCAAAAAGATATGACATATTCCTAAATATTTTAATCTGTATTTTTCTGTAGCTTACAATGGAGCGCACAGAGACAGACATTCGGCAGCGACTTAATAACAAAATTGAACAACTTGAGTCAGAGCTGACCGCCATGAAGACCAAGCTGAACCAGGAAGTAGAACAACGGCACGCTCTTGGACGATCCATGGATGTATGTGTCTCAAGTTCAAATGTTTTCTCCATTATAAAATCTAGTCTATAAATTATTGTTATATTTTGTGCTCTTTTCGTAGGCCCAGTTGTTGGAAGCAAAGAAACGGCTGGAGACACAGAATACACTGCAGCAGAAGACCAGAGAGTTGCTGCGCTCTTCTGAACAGCAAGTGGCAGCTCTGAAAGCACAGCTGGCGTCGGCTGCCTCTGGGCCAGAGGCCACTGCCACCACCACTTCTGCAACACCAGCCGGAAGAGCAGTGGCCCTAAGGGCCCCACTGAGAGGTTAGAGACTATATATCTATAAATGCTGTGGAAATGTTTTATTATTAGAGAACAATTTTGAAGTAAAGCATAATTTGGACATCTACAATAATTGGGTTTCACAATGGCCGTGCAGTTTGGTCTATGCACCTGCTAACCACAATTCCTAGCTTAAACTATTTAGCTGAATGACTCTTCACCCTCCTTTCACACTGCTTACTGCCTTGTCTAATAATGTGTTCAGAACAAAAGATATATAGACAACATTACAAAAAGAATAGAAATCCACAGTTCAGTATATCAGTATACCTCTAACATGGCATAGATGACTTTGATGATAAATTGTAAATGTATGGAAGCTCTGCCTGGACCAAAATATTTTCTAGTTCAGGATAAAATGTATTTTCCGTTGAACTACAACAAAAGTTTACCCAAAAATACTGTAATCAAATGTAAGTGAAATTATCTTTGGAATTCATTTTCAGTGTGCAGTTCAGTTTGTTTTCTGTTATTGCCACCATTTTGAAGACTTCTCCATTCAAAAGATATAGTTTGTTTTATATTACCCCATCTATGAAAGCATATAAACCATACCCTTTACAGCTTTAGCAAACTGTGGATTTAAACTACACAACGCATGCACCATTAATAAATAAAATCAATGCTGAGGATGATACTAATATTCATTCTTATGTGTTTAGTGCATTCACCTGGACCCCCAGTCTCCCAGCAGCCGACTGTGTCAGAACAGGAGCTCAATGAGGTCAAAAGTCAGCTGCGCACTGCTGAAGAACAGAAGGATGAACTAAAAGAGCAGCTAAAGAATGCTAATGCTACAGTGGAGCAGTACAGATCTGTGGTTCTCACACTGGAAGACAGTCTGAAGAAGGAGAAAGAGGTATAACTACATTTACATTTGACAAAACATTTTCAAGTGTGATATTTTGCTACAGAAAATATTGCATGAAAGAAAATATTGATCACTCTTAGCCACTTTAGACATATTGTAAATAAAACTTGAGTTGCTATAAATAAACTGCATAAAATACATTTTATTACTGATATTTTATAAGTAAATTCAAACTTCTGCAGCACAAAGAAGAAACACATTCAAGTTCAAAGATATACAATAAAAAATAAGAGTTCAAATTTTATTCATCAGCAGCAAGTTATTACACTAATATCAGCCTAATGTCATAGTCTTTTGATGAAAGTTATGTTGGCTGTATTTTGTCTGTTTAGTCCCGCATCCCTCTGGAGATCCGTCTGAAAGAGGCTCAGGAGATACAGAAGCAGCTGGAGCAGAGGATTGTGGAAGTGGAGAAGATGAAGCTACAGGGGGAAGAGGACCGCAGGAAAGCTGTGAATGCTGTGGAGAAACAAGTATCTCTATTTACTCTGTTGCATGCTTAATCAGACTCTAAACAGCACCTTTCCTGTAATAAAGGATAATGTTTTTTTTTTTATTGTTTGTTACAGGTGATTGAGCTCCAGCGCACTCTGAAGGCCAGTCAGACAGAGCAGCAGGAGGCTTTAGAGAGGTGCACTTTAGCTGTAACTCAAGAGGAGAAAGCCATTCAAGAGAGTCTTCAGCAGGTATTTATTCTTGTTCGACTTCTAATTTGTAGAAATACACAGAAATACTAAGTGCTCTGTTGATTTTATTCATTTATTTTTAGACCAAGATTGCAGAAGAGGCTCAAGCCAAGTACGAAAAGGAGTTAATGCTTCATGCAGCTGATGTCGAAGCGCTGCATGATCTGAAAAAACGTTTCCAGGAAATCTCCACAACCAAGCAGGAAGTAGAGGACAAACTAAACAAGACCACAGCGCTTCTACAGGAAAAAAACGCAACATGGAGTACAGTGGAGAAACAGCTGAAGGTAAAAATCCTTTAAAATGTTTAAAATGAGATTATACCAGTTCATATTTTTTGTTGTAGATTAAATTGATTATATTAATATAATTCTACAATTTTTTTTATTGGTGAAAAAAGGGTGTATATAAATTTAAATATTGCCAGCATTTTTACTAAATTTTTACACCAGTCATTTTTTTAATTTTTTTTATTTACAATTAAAGAACAATTGTTTTAAAACCTTATCGCCTAGTCATGATTACATATTTTACCTTTTTTCTACAGGAAAATCTGGCCAATCAGAGCCGTCGCTGTGAGGAGCTGGGGAAACAAAATTCACTTCTTCACAAACAGATGGATGAACTGGCCGCTGCAACTCGATCACAGCAAGAACCTCAGCAACAGAATTTGGACCTGTCATTCAGTGAAGAGGGCAAGACCACAGAGCAGATTCTGGAGATACTCAGGTAAGTGTGTTATTGTGAGAAGAAGCTTTTCTATGTAACAAAAACACTGACGTACAAATACATTTTTACCATTTCTTTACGTCTTGGAGGTCCCACGATTATTTGCACTGTAAACACAACTTATTTAATGTACTCCATCTATTATAGATACATACCTATTATGCTAACAATTGTTTTAATCAAACTTTGTAACATTTCTTAATCCCGTAACACTGTATATTAAGTAGTATCAATGGCATCAAATGGCATGTAAAACTTATATAATTGTCTTTCTAAAACTGAAGATTATATTTTGTAGCATATATGTAATCATTTCAAATAAATAAAAAATGAATTAATTCTGGTATCTTTTTCATTATATACTCTATTTGGATTGCATTTTCCAAACCGTTTGTATTGAATACATTCTGAAATGTCTTGTAGGTTTGTGCGACGAGAGAAAGAGATTGCTGTTGCTCAGTTTGAGGCATCTGAGGGAGAAGCTCTTCGGTACAAACAGCGTGTTGAATATCAAAATCAAGAATTGAAGGAGCTACAGGAGGCTCTGAATATTGAACGGGAAAGGATGCAGGTACAAATAAATGCTGCAGCATATTGTCATTAATAACTACTTAACAAAATACAAAGAACATAAACAGTGTAACCAGGAGGGTGTAAGGTGATAATTCTGCACATTTGTGTAAATGTTCCATTTTAATTTTAATATCGCCCACCTCTACTTTCAAATATATTGATCTGAACTATACCTCACTAAGAATAACTATGGCATTTACAGTGTTTTCTCTTTAAATTCAGTATCCTTCTACTACAGTAAAACAATATAGTAAAGATATCCTTCAAAGTTTTACAGTTAATGTTGTTTTAGTGTATGGCACCACCAAATGTTCACACATCACACATTGCCACATTCAATTTCAGCCAAAGCTTTTCAAGTTTTCTACTTATTACTTAAAATTATACAATTATAAGCTTACTTTTCCTTTTATAATTTTTTCAGAATACTGCAAAGACCGTAGCCCAGCAGGAGCAACAGCTGAAGAAAATGGAGACAATCAATTCACTTCAGGAAACCAACAGGCTGCTCAAACTCGACAAAGACAAGCTCGAGCATGAACTCAGGATCTTCCGCTCTAAAGTAATTATTTACAAGCAGAGGCATAAATGTACATAACTACATGAAGTACATCCAATTATGTAAGTACCTTTTGCATATTTGTTGTGTAGGTGTCCAAGTTGCAGTCAGACATAGCCCCTCTACACCAGAATTTGTCTGCTCTCTCAGAGAAGAACGGCTCATTACAGGCAGATAAGAGAATACTGGAGGAGGACCTTAAACGCTGGAAAGCGAAAGCCCAGGTAAGTTTTGTTTATTTATTTTATTTATTTATTTATTTATTTTTAACAAGGACAGTGTGCAGCCATTGTTCTCAAAGACAAAAAATGCTCAACACCAGATTGAACTACAAGCTATTTTCCATCTGTAGTTCTTCCATTCTTTAATGGGCTGAATATAATAAAACACTCAAGTACAATATAACAACCTGCAATGGCACCTTTCAGCTGTTTTTAATTCCTCACATTATTGTAGAATAACATGGATCATGTCAGTTGTTCTAATGACCAAATTAAGAATTTCTTTGTTTTTGCCTTTGCCCAAAGCAAATGGCCAACCAACAGAAAGATGGGGACGTTGAGGAGAAACAGAAACTGATGACTGAGAGAGACGCTCAGCTGAAACGCATCACACATCTCTCAGAAGAGAGCGCCAAGTTAAAGACTGAACTAGCCAAGTAAGAAATTAATGTCCTATTTTAGCTCCATATCAGTAAATACATCATTTACATCAGTAAATACGTCAAAGATAATATATCCAGTGGAAGCTGAGCTTGATGTGCCAGTACGGTAATTCTTCATGACCACTGTTCCTTAAAGCGTATTTTAGGTGTTAAGTAAATTTTAAGTATACATACATAAAAAGGTTGTTGAGTGCATGTATCTATAACCTCGTTGATTGTCTCTATGTGTGCCAGAGCCAATGCTAGCAATAACTCCAGTCAGTCTCAGCTGCAAGCACTGAATCAGACAGTGGCACGGCTAACTACAGAAAGGGACAATGCCAAGAAAGAGGTGGAGACCAAAAACCATGACATCCTGGAGAAAAACAAAACGATCACTCAAGTGAAGAAGATTGGACGCCGCTACAAGACTCAATACGAGGAGCTCAAAGCCCAGCATGACAAGGTACAGGATATTTGAAGTATGGAAGTCTAAATAAGGGCTCCTTGGAAAAAAAAACTTATATAATTAAAATTGTGTTACCAATAATAATGGTATAGGATTTTTTTTTATAAGTCAGCACAATTGAATTTTTAAAATCTCCATAAGTTAAAATTAATAAATAGTTATATTAGTATGACAATAGCATGTTAACATGGTTAAACTTGGAAAAGTATAATATAAAACATTTTTTATGTTACTGAAGTTGGTCCAGGAGATGCAGCTCCTCACTCAGGCACAGGAAGAGCAGAAGAAAGCCCGAGAAGAACTGGATAAAAACAAAGATGAGATGCAGAAGAAAGCAGAAGAGGTGAGCAAAATATTTTATTTATTCAAAGATGCGTTATGCACATTTTCTGGTGGGGGTCTGCCATCTGCTTGTCTCCATGGAGATGTTATTGCTTTGTGGGAATAGTCAACATTATGACATTAAACTATTTATCTCCATTGAGACAAGCTGGTGGCATACCAACAGATGTTTTTGTGCACTGCCATATACCTTTTTACAATATATTTTGTGGTGACTGATGATACACTTCATTTGTTCAGATTCAGAAATCCAAATCGGAGTTGGAGAACGCTCAAAAGGAAAGTCAACAAACCAAAGAGAAGTTACAAGATCTTCAGAACCAGCTGAACCAGAGCCAGAATCAACTCACACAAGTACTGCAACCTGAAAACTATGATCATAAGAAAAATCAATGCATTAATAAACTAATAACTTTTTGTATTTCAGGTTCAAGCCCAACTCTCTCAAACACAGACACAACTCCAGCAAAATCAGAACCAGCTCACCCAGGGTCAGAAGGAGCTGCAGCAGGCAAAGACCCACAGCCAACAGGTATAAGACTGCACAAACAGATTCAGTTATTTTCCCTACACTTTTAGCAAATATTGAAATATGCAGTTTATGGCATTGCAAAACATTCATCTATTTCCTTTACCTGGCCATACAACTTGCAAAGAAGTCATGTTAAGTTATTAAAGTATTAAATTATTAAAGAGAAATTCATTGACTTGTCCTTTTAAAAAAATATTGAAGAAATGTTTGTATAGTAATGTAGTTTATGGCATTGTAAGACGCATTCAAGTATTGCATTAACTTATCGATATGAACACTTTTTAAAACTTCACTTTGTAAATAATGATTTATTTTAACTGTTTATAGTTGCAAAACCAGTTGAAGACAGCACAGACTCAATCTCAGACCCGGCAGAATCAGATCCAGCAGATCCAGAAGGAGCTGCAGCAGACAAAGGAAAACCTCCAACAAAAAGAGAAAGAACTTCAACAAACTCAACAAAGCTCACAACAGAGCCTCAACCAAGAAGTCAACAACCTCAAGATAGCCCTGAGCCAAGCAGAGGCCAAGGTAAGGAAGTAATTGTTATAATTGTTTTTATTTCAGTATAGTTGTAGTGTTGTTCTTTTTAAAATAAGTTTATTATAATTGTATGGTGGTAAACAAATTATCTTGTTATAGGGAACAGCGCTTCAAGAACAAATAGACAACCTACAGAAGGTTTGTGGAAAAATTATTTGTTTGTAATGAAGTGAAGTGTTTGAGCTAAAAAAAAAAATGCATGCAGTGAACTACTGATATTTGACATTTAGTTCATCTGCTGTGAGGCTGCTCTATGATGTTTTTCTGCTCTGTATGATCTAGTAATAAATAACTGGCTAGATTACCCAAAAAGATGATGCGAGTGAATCATGGCTCACTCTGCATTACTCTTAATAAATCAAAAGATCTACCATGCCTTGTTGTATTAATTTATCTTATGTGCAATTCTTGGTGTTTATTAGACTTTAGGTGAGCGTGATGCAGAAGTGAAGCATCTGGAGGAGCAGCTCGCGGAGGTTAAACAGGCATATGAAGCAGCACAGAGCTCACAGCCCACACAGAGCCACAGCAGTGAGGGGAACACAGGTGGAGACCCAGGACGAGAGGATGAGCTCACCAAACTCAAACAGGAGGTATGAAGGGTGTTTTTCTATTTAAGCTGAAACATTATTCTTGATTTTTTTTTTTAAAGGTGCACTATCATTTGTCTACCACCTGCTTGTCTTCATAGAGATGGCATTGCTTTTCCTTAAACATCTGCATCTTGCATTTATTCAATTACATGTGTTTTTGTTTTTATTACCCTGAAATATATGTATTCTAACTGAGAGCAGGTTTCAGTCTCCGCAGACCTAATCTGTAATTTGGCCTCACTGGGTGGCATACCCAGAAAAGTTGCTTAGTGCACCTTTTAATTAATAATCTACATATTATACACAATACAATTGATTGACCGTGGTATAAAACATTTAATTCCTACAGTTAACTGAGAGCAAGAACCGGGAGGAGCAGCTCAAACAGCAGATGGCCGACAAAGAAGAAAAGACCAAAAAAGCTTTCCTCGGAGCCAAGACCAAGATTAGCCAGCTCAACAGTGAGTATATCTATATTATACAGCTACCAAGTATATTACATGTAATCTCTTTTTTAGACATTCAGTTGCTTAGATTAAGTCAGTGAAATTTGATGGGTCAAGAATTAGGTCTCTTGCTTTTGCAATGCAAATGTAAGCAGTGTTTCTCATAATATGATAATGACAACATTGACAGTTTTCTGACAGTCTAAAAACAGGCTAACCATAAACAGATTTATGTTATTGTAAGTATGTAAAAGTAACTGCTAAACTGTCAACATCTCTAGTTAATAGGTATTTTAAGTGACATTTTTGGTCCAAAATTGTGATGTGTAGAAATTTAATAAAACACTGAGAAACACTGACTGTTGTACAGGTGCTAAGGAGCAGCTGAGCAAAGAAGTGGAGGAGCTGAAGCAGGACAAAGAGGAGCAGGAGGTGCGAATGAACGCCATAAAGTCTCAGTATGAAATGAGACTTGCGCGTTTGGACCGAGAGCTGAGAGAACTGAGAGAGACCCAGACTGAGTCCAAAGAGGAGCCCCAGGACCAGGGAACCGTAAAGGTACGTGTTTACCTGAGACCATACATAGTCGGGGGTTGTTTTTAGTAGACTTAAAAAAAAAAATCAGAAATTGGGTGTAAGAAAAAATGAAAGTTACTGTATTCTATTTAGTTTGACAACTAGTAATCATGAAACTGCTTATTTTTAGCACTGCATTTTTGATAGCAATACTGTCACTACAATATATTTACATAATAAATTACAGTCACAAATATACTCCAAATGCCTATATTCTTTTTTAGCAGAACAACGAAACAATTTAATTACTGCTTATCTCTAAATGTATATAATGATTGTATACAATTACAGCTTTCTATGTGATGTTGTTTTAATGAACCTCTAATTTGTAGGGTGATCAGACCAGACCATCAGATCAGAGACAAATATCACTGAAGAGCCCTGCCCAGGACAGAGGAAGGTAAAGCAATAATAATACACATTTTACACAAATCAACTATTATACAAAATTACATATTTAATTAACAAATGCATTTCTCTACCTTAGCTCCAGTCTGTCTGAGCCTCCTACTGCCAATATCCGTCCAACCCCCAGCACCCCATCCCCTAGCAGCAAACCAAGCCCCACCCCGGGCAGTAAGGCCACCCCACGGGCCAGCATTCGACCAATGGTGACCCCTCCATCTGTGCCCACTCCTACTCCTACTGCCACTGTCATGCCGACCACACAGGCTGACAGTCAAGAAGGTAATTTTATCTAAATGTCTGTTCAGAAGCAAACTAACATTAAGTTCAGTTTACCTGTAAAGTGAAATCTGATATAAATAGCCTACCTTGTATAACTATGTGTTTACTGATTTTATTAAAGAAAGGTATTTTGAATGATTTTTTGCAGATGGAGTTACTTATTGCTAACCTGTCATGAACGATTATAAAGATTTTAATTCATTGCTCAATAAATAGTGCTCAGTTTTATAAATCAAAATTGATAACCAAAACTTTTTTCCAGTTTCTCTTGGTACAGGATCATCTGTTCACTCTACCAGCTCCGGTTTGAGCAACACACCAACCACCATTGCGCAGCCAACCAGCACCCAGGCTACAGCTTTTGTCCAACCCACTCAGCAGCAGTCAGCCAGTCAGGAACCAGGATCCAGTATGGAGGCAGAGCGTCCATCCACATCCTCGGCCTCTCTAGCACCAGGTAAACTGACACTATTTGTTCATTATCAACAACAATGTAATAGTACTAAAAAATCTTATAATATTTTAATGGATTATTCAAACAGGCTCAAAGCGAGTTCGGACTGAGGAGGAAGACGAGGAAGAGGACAGCAGACCTGAAAGTTCACGCACTTCTCCAACTACCAAAAAACTACGACTGAAACCAGCAATGGGTCTACCGGTAAATACTTGTGCCAAATTATAACTACCATGATTACCTATTACCTTACCTATAATTTATTAAAGTTTCTCCTCGCCCTTGAAATACTGCCCACCTTTGGCACAACTACAAGAAAATTTTTTTGCAGAGTTTGACAGTGGCCTATAATGACTCTTTGACAATATTACTGAAAGTGCAGAGATTTTGTAATGAAAGTGAAATATTTGTTAACTGTCCCAACACAGTTTACAAACATTTCTTGTCATAGTTGTCACACATGTAGAGCCATGAAAATGAACACTCAAATCATTATCGCTCTAGTGTGTCCTGCGAGGAGCCCTGTCAGATTCACCTTTAAACTGTGGAGACATTGGCGTTCGTGTCTGTATAAATTATAAAATGCATTGTGTATTTAAATTTTTATATACTTACTATGAACCAGATATTATGTGTTCTTAATAAAGTCTGGATTGAATTGAATATTATTTTTTGTAAGGTTGAGGAAGAGGAGGAGGAAATTGAAGAAGAGCTTGGGGACGTCACAGAACGACCAGATTCAGCTGACAGTGAGGTTTGTCAACAGATAATTCTGAATTTAAAGGGAGCTAGACAGATGTTTAAAGAAGGGCAGTATTGTTCATTTTTACCGCTCAGACTATTAACGACCTATACCAGTTGAGAATTTAGGGCTGGTGATGAGGTGAAGGAACGTAAATTCAACAGTAAAAGCACTGCCACCAAACTTTTTAGCCCTTACGTTACATACATCATGTTTATTCAAACCCATATATTCATAGTATGTACTAGTAGATGTTCTCAAGGGTGTGAAATTCTCTAAAGTAACATGTTTTTGTAGATGGCGTTCCCTGTGATTGAAGCAGACGATGAGGATATTGAGGATGAGGGCGTGTCCCAATCGGTACCTTCAGACCAGTGTCAGACTTTAGTTCGTGATGTTATCGTGATCGACACCGACAGTGAGAGCCGGGAGAGCAAAGAGACTGAGAAACAACAAGAAGATGCAGAGGAGGAGGAGGATGATGATGAAGAGGAGGAAGGGCAGGAGGATGAGGTACACAAAGTTGCAAAAACTATTTAGAAACATGCAGTTTGAAATGTTATGCCTCACAAATATGCAGTATAGATTACTAAAAACAAAAACAAAAAAACACACATGCCACATGCCATACAAATCAAAACGTCATGCTGTTTAATTATGATAAAAGAATGTATTATATAGTTGTAGTAAAAGGTTCACTACTAAACTACTTCACTACTTATTGCTAAAATTCAGTGGCTTTAGAGATGTGTTCATTTTTATTGTTGATGTGATATTAACAGCTAGATTCAGTTTACACACATAAGTCCATCAAAATAACTGCTTGTGCTACTTAGTGCTTCCATTTAATATTGGACTCTCATGTATTATTGAGAAATATTAAGTTTTTTTTACACTTGATATCATATATCACATTAATCCCAGGAGCACTCCTATGGCAACAGACCAAAACCAGAGCACCCAATCTCATATCTCATTACCACCTCCCACCCACTCATAAGAAGGAAATACTCTAAATATCAATCTCTTGAAAATATGCACTGTTCTTCTTTCCAGTACAAGGATGATGAAGATGATGATGAAGAGGATGATGGCTCTGGAGATGGCGGCATGAGACGTGCAGAGGGCAGTAATGAGGAGAGCAGAGATGCCGATGAGGAGGATGAGGAAGAGCCTTCAGAAAGCGTCCGCTCTGAGGACAAGCCGGGCGCATCGTCAACTGAGCGAACTACCGAGCCCTCACACAGTGGTAAATGCGTGTGTGCTTTCCTCATGGTACCTCTAAAAAGGAATTTGAACGTCTACCTAATTTTAGTGATTGTTCTAGTACAGGGGTGGGCAAACTACGGCCCGGGGGCCGTATGCGGCCCTTTAAACCTTTTAATCCGGCCCGCCGAACTGGAATAAATTACAGTAATAAATCTTGTTGATGTTTTATTTGTCATGCATTTCCAGCATTTCCCAGTAGATGGCGCACTATATATACTTTGAGTTGCGGCGTATTATGTTGGCCGCAATGCTTTATGGGAAAATGTTCTTGCAGGAGTTATTCGGACCATGAGTGAAGTAGTTGGTGCTTAAGATATAAGACTGCACTACTTCCATTTTGAGTTGGTATAAATCAATCAAGGAAGCCTGTGGACTTTGAGTTGTAATTTTTAATGTGTACAACATTTTGGGGTCAGTTTTTACCACACTCACAGGTGTATATTTGTAGTTGTATGACATATGCTTTGTTTTTGAGCTGTTACCAGTCATATTCGAAGACGGCGAATTAATGACATACGTTCACTTGTGGTGTGCAGTGGAACTGGTCTCAACAGTTTTATGTGTTCGGAATCTTTCACAGCAGTGATGAAAGTCCTAGATAAATGTGAATAAGAATGTAATGAATCTGAGCTCTTAATACGTTATGTCCTGTCTTCTGTCCGGCCCTTCAGTCAAACTTTAGGACCCTATGTGGCCCGCGAGCCAGAAAGTTTGCCCACCCCTGTTCTAGTATACTGAAAGCTTTACAAACCCACGCTTATAATAGGAATCACTCAAACGCTACACCAATTTTCCTCTCAGGTGAAGGCCGCAGTGGAGCATCATCAGAGGCTGACCCCCCAAGAGACCTACTGCACCTGCCCCCTCTCTCCTCCGTCCCCACACCCTCTCCGTCCTCTCTTGCCCCTCGTCTGCCCCAGCCACGGAGACCTCCTCATTCTGTCCCTCCACGACTCTACATCCAGCCCCCCGCCCCTGAGCTGGGACCCCCTCACACACAGGTACACTCACATGGACTTGTGTTAGAAAACTATTACATTGTTTCGTTTTTATTCTCAATCACTTTTTTTTTATCCAGAGACAGTCTTCTCAGTTGCGGAGACAATCAGTTGGACGTGGACTCCAGCTAACTCCAGGAATAGGCAGTACAGTAAGCCAAAAATAATTTTCAATTTCAGATGACTGTCTCATCTGACTATAATTTTAGAGTTGGTTTTGTTTTTTGTAGCAGCAGCATTTCTTTGATGATGACGACAGAATGGTCCCCAGTACTCCCACTCTTGTTGTGCCTCATCGCAATGATGGTTTTGCAGAGGCCATTCAGTAAGTATTTTCACAACAATCTATTACATTTATGCTAGTGTGCCTAAAAGCTATTGTTGTTTCTGTTTGTGTCTAGCTCTCCTCAGGTGGCAGGACTGTCCACTAGATTTAGGTTTGGACCTCCTGAGGACCTCCTGCCTCAAGCTTCAGCCTCACATTCAGATCTGGGACAGCTGGCTTCACAAGGAGGTGCAATGAATGCAAATCACGACTGTACTCAAATCTATGCAAAGATCCAATGAAACCTATATGAAAAAGACAGTTCCTAATGACTATTACTATATTTTAAAAGTTTGATGTTCCCTTTAGGTCTGGGCATGTATGAATCGCCCCTGTTCTTGGCTGCTCATGATGAAGATGGAGGAGGAAGAAGTGTTCCCACTACTCCCCTGCAGGTGGCAGCACCAGGTAGAACTAGATTCTTTTCTAACAGACAGAAGTTGACAGTTGTGTTTACCATGACAGCTGTACATATCAGTTCCCCCTCTCTCTGTTTCAGTGACAGTGTTTACAGAGTCTCTTCCCTCGGACGGGGCGGACAATATGGCGTCCCAGTCTGTTCCCATGGTAACCGCCTCCACAGCGATGTCATCTGCAGCTGATGATGGAGATGAGGTTTTCATGGAGCACGAAGCAGAAAGGTCAGAGAAGCAGAGAATATAGTATACACACTGCATCTAATTAAAATGTCCCTAATAATAATAATAATAAACCAGGAAGAACATGCTGGTTTGCTAACAGATAGTTGATATTGACAGAATTTATACATGTGAAGAATCAGCATTGGGAATGAATTAGGCAAGTTAACTTAATGAGTTCCTTCTATCAAGGTTATAAAACTAAGTTGAGCTAGGAGCTAGGATAGTATGTTATCTTTTATTTCAATTATGTTTTGTCTTCATTGTGTGTATGTTTTGTTTTCAGTGCGGGTCTTGAGCCCTCTTTAGACAGTCAGGCCGAGATGGACTCAGCCGCTCAGCAAAGTGAAGACGCAGCACTGCCATCCACAAGCCAAGACCCTGGTATATCACTTTGTACCACCTATTTAAGAACTGACTGGAAATTTTGTGTTGACTTTACTCATGACTTTTGTTTCAGACACCAGCAGTGCCACGCAGAGACGCACTCTGCCCAGTCAGCCACTGTTCTCCAGCCTTTTGGGGCGAGGGGGCAGAGGGAGGGGTGAGGGCAGGACTCTAATTAGCCGTAGAGGTAATTATATTTAACAGTGGCCACATGTAAACTTTGTAAACCCAGCTTGTATACAAAGATTTGTAGCTTAATTATTTTGAAAAATAATAAAAAATAGGTAATATATTATTTTTTTATACATTTTTAACCATATTCATCTTGAAATATGGTGACAGAAGGTTTCTAGATAGAGAATATAAATAAAGTGTATTATTAGTAAGTTTATTTATTTTATTTAAATCAAAATATGATTGCTGCAACAATTAATTAATTAATTGTAATAATCGTGAAATGAATAGCAGAGTGGTTTAACACAGTAGATACATAAATTAACGTTTAATTTTTTTTTTATTTCTAGGGGCGTACTCTCGAGGAGGAAGAGGGGCTATGGGAAGATGAAGCTTCCAGTAGGGATAACTGCTCTATGTGAAATGTCTTTGTCCTGATGCTGCATTTTTAGTGTTTAAAAGAATGTGCTGCAGAAATCCCATGCAGTAAATGTTATAAAGCATCTGTGATTTTGTTCGTTGTAAACTTTTAGTTTTCTATTTTATGCTGCTTCATGAAGTTGGCTCTAGTTTTGTAATTATGTTAGTGCAACTCAAAATACACTTGTTCTATTAATAAAGTGATTAACATCCGTATTGACTTTTTCTTTTGTCAGTAACTGTCTATTTCCATTCATACATTTACATAAAATAATTATTCACCTAACTATTATTTATAGATGTTAATTTAAAGGCCCATCTTAAGCACAGGGCTCCCACGGTCAAGGAAAGCCTGAAAAAGTCATGGAAATTGAAAATGTAATTTTCCAGGCCTGGAATCTAAGTATCTCTTTAATGCATCTACAGTGTTCTGTTATCATTAGGCTATTATTATTTAGGAACATATGTGCCTTTTGTTTAAAAAAAAAAAAAGATAATAAATGCATTGACAGTATTTTGAATGTAAAAAAATCTATAATACCAAACCATAAGATGGGTGGAAAGGCTTGGCATGGAAAATTCACTTTAGGTCATGAAAAAGTCATGGAAAAGTTCTGAGATTTTGTCAGTGAAAAAGAGTGGGAACCCTGTAAGCATCACTTTGAGAATCCAGCAGACAAGATCTGTTTTTCATGTATTTATTTTTGGTGTAATTATCCATCTATACAGGCATTTTTAGCATACAGATCAACGCTTACATGTGATCACGCCATAGAGGTAATATAGTATGGTGTTTATGCTCATATCCTTGCATTAGTAATACCAGTAGATAGCTGTTTTATGCGGGACACTGGAGCCAGACTCTGAGGGAGTTCTCTGGAGGAGGAGGAGGCGGGTCTCTGATCACTGTGACAATGTTAGTGACGCTAGTCTCCACAGCGACGGGAACACTCAGAACCACAGGACGAGGATGATTCGGTCCAACCAGAGCAGGCAGGTCTTCAGTCACTGACACGCTGAAGAACAAAGCTGAAGGAAAAATAAAGTTTAGTAAGTACAACTGTCATTATAGTGTATATCTTGTCATTTTTGGTTTGGGTTAATTGTCACCCAAAACTATTCTCCCTTATAAAATATATTTATTACACAGTTCAATTGCCAACTTCATCATGGTATCAGATCAAGGTATGCCCACTGTACAAATAGTAGCTCCAGTTATGGTGGCCATGTATGCAGCAGTAAAAATATCTGTACTAAAAAATGTGTCATCAAGGAGATGTTATTACTTTGCCTGGAAGGTTCCAAAGTATGGAATTATATATTAAACTTGTTCATCTTGCATTTATTAATTGGGTTTCATGCCATATTGTGGAACATTCCTGGAAAAAGAATTACATCTCCATGGAGTCGAGATGTCAAATCCTCCACTTAGGCTTACACTGTGCACACTGTACACAGGCATTCATCTTATTTACTTTGATTACTTTCTAAGCAGGATACTATGGCATATTTATAACACTTTTGCTTGCTTTGACAATCTGTTTTTTCTAATATACCATTACAATTAACAAGATATTTGTTGCTTACGTCCAGAGAAGACATAGTGCTCATATGTGTTGGCCTTCATTGGGATGGGAGCAGTCAGGGCAGAGGTGATGGGCACAGGGAATCCCTTCATTGTCACTTTAATCTGGATCTCCTGACTCAACAGCACCTCTAAACAATAGCAGGTTAAACAATAAAAAGTTAGATTCACATACATTTTTTTACTATTTCTACTATTTGGTGATGGTACTGACCAGTTTGACGAGCCACTTGTGTATTCATAAACCCTCTTGGAGTAATACTACATGCAGGAATATTAGATGATGGGAAAGTGAAACGTTGGATGATTTCACCTACAAAGAGACATGGAAACATTTACTTATTTAATGAAAGTATTGTATTGTGACTATTTAAACTAAACTGGACTAAACTAGATATAAACAGGATATAATGGCAAAGAAATGAATCAAGGTTTTTGTTTTCTATTTGATTTGATTGTTTCTCATTAAAAACAAAGGTAAATTGCTCTTGCCTTCTGAAAATAAAAATTAAGAAAAATTAATTATCAAGTGCAGTAGAAAGATTCTTCCAAAGTCAAGGTTTTACTGACAGAAAATTGACTCTAGAGCCAGAAATTAAAAGTCCAAAACTGATCACTGACTATTTGAAACCATTACATTACGATTAGATTAAAATATTATTAATTGCACTGCTTTATTTTGAACACCTATGTCTCACATACCTCTCCTGAAGAAGAAAACTGTCTCGGCTCTGCTCACTGTGGCTGGAGCTGACAAAGCTGCAGTGAGTCCTGGAGTCAGTCCTGGAAACTCATGGGAAAGAGGTTTGGGAAATCCAGGCTCAAGGATGAGGTTTCTGTCCAAACGCCAATAAAGGTTCCCCTGTAATAGTTTTGAGAGTAACGAAGTGGTGAATTATATTTACTTTTTTAGATAAATTGATCTTCAAAGTAAGAAATTTCATCACAATGTATGTTTTGGTTTTATTTTTATTTTGAGTTAAAACTACTCTTACTTACCACAGTATATGTCTATTGCTCACTGTTATTAATCTAAAATGTATACAATGCAAAAATCTTCAGAACTTACATTTTATATATAGGTTGTGTAATGACACTAATACAAAAACACAATTCTGACTTTTTGTGTAAACATTTACCCAGTAGTACATGAGTGGATATACTTTTTTTTTTATACATTTTTAATGTATATTTATTTGGATGGCTACTTGCTGCTACTTGAGCAATATTATTTTGACACAAGTAACTGAACAGTTATTTGATTCTTTGATATTTTGTCCAATCTTCTCGTGTCTATCTAATATATTACATTCCACATAGACAAGGGATGATTTTACCTTAAAGACATAGACATTTCCCTGACAGTTGCTTCGAGTGAAGACGGTGTCGATGTGAGATGGGATGCCCAGAATTTTGGATATGCTGTTCGGGTGACTGATGTAATGGGTCTCTGGGTCCACTGTCCAGAACAACTCACCTACAAAACAAGAAATTAATATGATGGCATTACTTGTCTATATTTGACTGGCCCACTAGTTGATTTCAGATTTCAGACAAACAAGGGTGTTGTTTTCTGAAACCCAGCAAAATAATGTATAATTAATTATTGAAAACAAATTAAAGGTACACTATGAAAATTCTCTAGGGGATTTTCTGCCACCTATTTGTTACCAGGGAGAGTGATTAAATATTGGGAAGAGCATGTGGAAAGCTAGCCTCCAACTCACCTTTGAAGATCACAATAGTCCCGTTGCTCAGAGCCGTCAGCCCACTGATTGGAGTATCACTGCACAAGTCATCCACCAATCCTGTACAAACCAAAACAATAATACAGTCATTATTAACCAATCACTAAATATTCTAAATAATATTTTACATGCCAATCTGATCCTTAATTGAGCTGAAGTTGTCCTCACCTCTCTCTGGAAGAAGAGGCAAGCCCAGAGCTGCAGCAAGATCATGGAGAGGGTTTGGTCTGGGCCTTATAACAGGTGGGACAATCATAGCTGGCCAGAAAGACACATCAGAAACAATTTTTAAAAATGCTTTCTATAATTACAATTAATTTTATGGATTTCAAAATGGAATCTCACAAAAATGTTACTTTTTATTATATTAACAATGTGAATGCAACTCTCAAATATTATTTTGTTAAATTATAGTCTCTGCATTGTTTAGTTTGATTTGCAAATATAGCATATTATAGCTAGACCTATAAACCTATACAGTAAATTACTGTCCAGTCAGGAACATGATTTATTAAATAATGGTTAAATAAGTGTATATTTTAATACAAGTCCAGTACCTGGATTTTGTCTCGGCACAGAAACTCCAGCGTGAGAGAGGACCAGGTGAAAGTCCATTTTTCCTGCAGATCTTGGAGGAGGAGGGTAGATGGGTTGTACGGGCACATGGGCTGCCAAGAACAAACAGAGTAGAAGCTATGATTTAATAAATAATGTAACCATTCATGTATAAATATTTGGTGTTCAGATATCAAAATCCCACCTTGTACCAGTGTTGTTTGTACACCAGTGGACACAGGTCTTGATGGTGAAACTACAACACACTTGGCTCCTGTTTTACAAGAGTGTCTAGCTGCAGCCACTAAAAACAGCCAAAAATTCAAAACAAACATACAGTGATTTACTAAAATAAATACAGAATGGACAAAAAAAAACACAAAACAACAAAAAAAAAAAAACCCAAAACAAAACACCTACACAGTAACTTCTCCTCACTTTCACTGTTTGACCTCCGCCTCCCATTTATTGGCCTGTGGCTCCCTGAAAAATACACACATTTTTAATGAAGAAATAATCAGTAGGGGATTTGTTTAGGCTTTTTATTTTATTTTTTTGTGAAACGCAGGGGTCAATATCTCACCTCTAGAAGTGACTCTTGGAGGTACATACCCTTTCTGTTGTGACACTCTGGCATCTGAACAACAACAACAGGTTATAAAACTACTACTAATGCCTAAATCAGCATGAAAATATAAAAACCCTTTAGTGACTATCAACACTGCCAATCATTACAACGCTATTTAATCCCCAGAGTAGTTGTTTAAGAGCTATACCGCATTGCAGGTGATAGTCAGGACAGCAGGTGTTGAACTGGACACATTGAGGGTCACAGTTGCACAATCGACCACGAACGAATGGCTCACCACAGCGTCCACTGCAGGACTGAGCTGAGGAATACAAAAAAAAAAAAAGTCAGTATTTCTTCATGGACCCTCCAAGGTAGTAATTTGATTCTGTCTACCTATAGTGCACACAGCCTGGAAGTCCTGGCAGCACTCATTGTGAGAAGCACACTGCAGGTCGCATGTGCACTGCTGTCCTCTCGAGAAGGCCTCTCCACAGCGACCCACACAAGTTCCTAAAAGAGGGATTATAAATATCATGAAACTACATGTAAAATACTAAGGAAAATATCAAGAACTAAACCTGGACTAGAACAGAATTTAACCAAGTCATATTTTTATAATTTTTTAATGTACAAAGTCTGACTGCAACTACAACTTCTTGGGTGAGAAGCAGCAAGAGTGAAACTGAAATATAATTTTGCAGTGAGTAATCATTTTGGCTATTATCACTCCTTTTATTCTGTATGGACCTTTTAACTGGGAACACATTGACTTAAAAGACCATAGATAGTTTTGAGACTCTGCTACTGAATTACAACAGCAGGGAATCTCCCAGTATTTATGACCATTAGTCCATTCAAAGTTTGCCATATACTTTGCCATATACATCAAAAAAATCACCATTCACCAACATTAGTAACATGCATATATATTTTGTCTACCTGGTTTTGCAGATTCAGCAAAGCCCACAACCAAAGCAATCAGCAGAAAACTCATCATTTTCATCATCTTGTTGCCGGTAGCTCTCCTTCTCGTCTCTGTCCAGCCAATGTGTACACAGCACTTTTATACATGAGACAAAGCATCAGACTGGACCTGTTTAATGACAGCACACACCCTCACACACTTGTGTCACCATCCCACGCTACTAATAAACAAACCACAGGAAGATGTGACACTGTTTTCTATCTCACATCCACTATCCAACTAATCCAGACCATTACAAAAGAAGCTATTTGAATTTGGTTACCCAGCTGCTGCTTACTTAAATACATTCCTGAATAATTGTTACTTGTTCCAGACAGGGCTTAAAATTTCCAAAATAAATAGTGATCACATGACTGCCACATGTACCTCCATCCATTGTCTTTGTCAGTGTCAGCCACATTTAAGGCTGACAATTGAAATGTCACCACACAAAAGTCAAACCGCATGACATCAGGGTTCACAGAAGATGGCAACACAACACATTCAGTTCTATTTAATGGACAGGATGTAAAAAGTGCCTTTGTTATGCTGTGCCATTTTATGTTATCATTTAATCAAAACATTAAAGGTGCACTATGTAACTTTTCTAGGGGTCTAGATGTAGAAGAAAGAGAAGAGAGAGAAGAGAAGAAATTCTATGTGAACCAAGCAATCCAACCAACCAATCAGCCTTAAAGGACATGTCCAACATTCAATGGATCCAGTGACAGCAAAACCTCCATGAATTACTGCTGGAGAACTGTACAAACTCACATCACCTTAAATTCTATTAATGTCAGCCTTGTTTATGGCAATTTTAATGATGTAATACATTTTTGGTTGGCTGGTCCATTACATTCAGGGCACTTTGCACGTTTTACACCAGATGCCCTTCCGGACTGGTCATACTATTTAGTAATCTCTCTGATTGCAGTGTCACAGAATACCCAAATTCCCCGACATATATGTAATGAACTGCTTAATAAGTTTTGTCTTTTGTCAATCTGGAGCATTTTTATACAATACCTTTTCCATTTAAAAGCTAAACTATATAAGTTTCCAAATTCGTTCTTAAATCTGCATATATGTAACTACACTAAGTAGCCTACTATTTCAAAATTACATACCTGCTCTCATGGTGAAGTTATTGATTGAACTTGGAATGTTTCACTGTATGGCATTAATTAATACAATTAGAAGTGTTAAAAAAAAAAAAACTTGACAAACATGTATTCTTATAGTAAATGCATGGGCTCACCTCTCCAGATTTTACCTTTTACCTGTCACTTGGCATAGTGCCATGACCTGCTTGTCTCTTGAAGAAAAGTCTAATACCATATAACATCCCTCTCCCTGGAGACAAGAGGATGATGGACCCTCTAGTAGAAAAGTTACATTTTGCATATTTAATGGTTATAGTTCTGGCTATGCCATAACCTGAATGTTTTATTGATATGAATGTCAGGTGTTGCAGGGTGGTGGTGAACAAGTACTGTTACAGTTTGAGGTCTTATTTTTTTATTGTAAAGTCACTATTACATACTTTAATTTCAGTGGTCATATATCTAGCATCTGCCTGGGCAGACAATGTAATTGAAGTAGCCTATAAAACTTTATTAGTGCCACACAGTGTGACAAAGCACAGACTGTGGGATGGACCAGACTTGGTGCATATTCAGCCATCCGACAGACATGATGACATTTAAAGAGCATCTGGCGAAATATAAATAAGTCTACTACACACCACTTAAAGTTCAGCTAAGGACAATTAAAGTAGACTCTATTCAAGAAGGGTAAACAATACAAGTAGAAGATGCAGCCAAATGTTTAAATTAGACTACACTGTACACCCTATAGTGGTTCCCAATGTTAATTTTATGATGATTATTTATGTTTTTATTTGTTCATACTGTGATTTTAATGTCTTTCTTATTCTGTAAAGCAATTTGAATTACTTTGTGTACAAATTGTGCGATACAAATAAACTTGCCTTGCTTTTCTACCAGCAACCCCTATTTGACTTGTGGATAGGTTTGCAAGGTGTTCGTTTAGGTATGCAAGATTTTAGCTCAGGTAATCATTATTGCTCTACTGTAATTATTATAAACTGACCGTAAAGGGGCAGTTACCATTCCATTCCTTAATTAAAATGTACACTATTTATAAACCCAGTCTGTACCTTTGTAAAAACATCTGTGGACCCCCATATGAATTTTTGGGGACCCAAATTTTGGGTAAGGTTGGGAGTGACTGACCTAATGGAAACAATTATTACTAAGTTTACTGAAGATACATTAAAACTGGTTATTGTTTGTTAAACATTGTTGACCAATATGTTGTTTTTGAACAAAGAGTAACATTACACAACGTAACTCATTTGTATAATATATAATTATTTATATTTATTATTATTAATATATTTGAGTTTCAGATCTGTTCTCCATTTTATACACAACATAACTAGGAAAAATGTAAACTGTTTAAGTTACCAAAAAATTGACAGAGTAATCTTAATGCAAAAAATAGTGTTACTCACTGTATGTAACTTTACTAATCTGCATATTTGGTAACAGAATTTGGTAACAGAACTTACAAGAACCTTGTGTTTTCTACTCTATTGTACCTATGTTGCTAAGGTAAATTTGGGCAATTTATTTCCTGAGTCGCTAGACTAGCTGCTGCATTTGCAAATAAGAAGTTGTGGGCACTTCTGACTCCTGCTGACTCTGACTCTTATTGACTTACATTGTATTGTGACCTTGTCATTTTGGTCTTAAAATGTTTGTATTAACCTGCTCTACATGATCCTGGTATTTTTATTTTACTGTTTTGTCCATTAAAAAAATCCTATTATGGAGCCTGGCTCCAAATTCGCCCCTAAAATATTTGAAAGTAACCCACATCAATCTGTGCCCTGTAAGGGGTGATGTTCATGATGTTTTTAAAGGGTCTTGAGATGGTCTTTAAGATTGATCTAAAAAGCCTTTCTTTTGTGGTGTATAAATATGTATTTCAAAGCTGGCTATGATATCTGAAGCCAGTGTGTCCATTTTGGAATCTGCTTCTTCAAACCTGTATCTAAAAGCTGTGGAAATGTCTTTGGATGTACCTTTTGCCACTTCTTTGGCCACCTTTTAGGCCAACTTTTGAATGTGGTGATCATCTATTATATATAGCTTTTGACACTTGGACACTTCTGGCCATAGCTGGTCAAACACTTTGGAAATTAACTCCTTCACCTTTATGCCAGGAGAGTCATAGGAAATCCAAGAAATAACACTATCAATTATTAAATTGACCTTACTCTCCTGCCACGTGTCTGGGGTTGGGTTTTTGCCTCTGAGTGGATGTGTGGGCTGGGCAAATGCGTTGTAGACTGGAGAGCATGTTTGATAGTCATAATGTGTAAGTCACTCTTGGGTGATAATACCGGGGTCATGTTTCATATGGGCTCCAGATGTTGTGTGTTCTGGGGTGAAGAGAAGACCCTGGGGAACAATGACCTTTCATTTTGTGTGTTGGAAACTAAATCTATATTGGACAGTAGCACAGAGTTAGGAGTTACTCCTATGCTTCTGGGTATGTAAATCTGAGATAGATAGGGGAATGTGACTCTTGGGCTGTCTAATATGATGTTGTGAGGGCCACGATGCACACTCTTTGGTTTGACTGACAGAGGCTCCAGTTGTTCAGGTGTGTCCTTAATCTGTGGATGGACTTCAACCTGTTTTATAGCCTCCTTGTTGCAGGTGTTTTCATTTGTCTGCTCACTCTTTTTAAAGGAACTGATCATTGGCTTAATAAGGCAGACTATGGCTTTGAGATTTTTCTTAGGTGTCTCATAACTGTCAATCTCCACAAATTGAAAGATGTTTCCATTGAATTTACTGTGAGACAGATTGCTGTTGACTTTAGCCATCTCCTCACATTTTACCAGTCCAAACAGCTCGTCCAGAGAATCTTTGTTTTGCTGTAAGCCCAAAATTGACTCAAAACCTTCATAGAAGCTTGAGTTGAGTTTGCCCTCCACAGGTTCCAGGGACAGCAAAGGGGGTAAGGCTGGAGGATACTTGCCATTCTTCAATGGAAAATGAAAGTCCTCAAGAGCTTCAATAATTTGGTCTGATGCCAACTCAGTGATGTCCATAAACATATCTATTAGCAGCTCTCTGACTGGCTTACCTTTACAAGGTAAAGGTAGCATTCTCTCCATGTAGTTGAGGATTAAGGTCTGTATCTTCTCCTTAGAGATGATTGGCCTGATTGTTTTTCTTTGGATCCTTCAGTAGTTTTATAGACTACTATAAAACTAAACTTTATCATTTTGATCAACATCCTCTTTGACAGAAGTCTTGTCCTTTGGTTGAGGCTATATATGGTCTGTTTTCTTGAAGACTTTGTCAAACTTGGCAGCAGACTTTCCTACTTTACAAGTTGGGGCATTGTCTGATATAAGGGGAAGTCTGATATCCTTTGAGATCTCACTGGTCTCACCAGATAGTTGTGATAGACTTGGTGTTGGCACTGTTAGTGGTAGTATTGAGTAGTAGTAAGCTAATTTACCTGTGACAGACAATGTTGCTGTCACTGATGTCCATGAAAATTGGGTAAAATAGCCACAAATTTGACTAAATTAAAAGTAACGTTACTTCAAAAAAGATATTTCTCAAGTCGAAGTAAAAAGCAGAAGTTCAAAAAATTTGTTTAGTAGCTACAAGTAAAAGTATTCGGGGAAACTACTCCTCAAGTAACTTAAGTTAACTGGACAAAACATCTGATTTATCATTTAAAATTAATGCAATTATGAGGATAAAACATGAAATAGTGCTCGTGTCTGGTATTTTCACAATGGGAAGAAAGTATAATATCTGTAAATAGTGTACTCAAGTAAATGTATTAGGTCATAATACATTAGGTCATTGTAATGCTTGTGACACCTGCCCTACACTCAGTATATATAACGCGATGATTTAGGACAGTTATGAGCTATTTTCTGAGCTTTTTCAAGTGATAAATACAAAAATGTTGGTGGTAAAGGGAATAGTCATAATCATAATCCACGTAGTCCCACACGCGGCATTATGCGATTTTCCTTGAGAAACGGATTTAAATTATATATTCTTTTTAGTGGTGTTATTTACAGTTCAACTGACACGTTATTTTGAGCTAAGATCATTTGTGATGGATGCACCGGAACCATGCACTAGTTTTGTTTCCCGTACGTACTTTTATAAAAACGGAAAAGCTCTCCACATTTCCTGCATAACATTGGGAGAGCACACGTTAGTTGATGTAACTTGCTTACTTTATTGAGTGATCTGCCCCTAACAGAAGTTTTGGGAGTTTTATGAAAACGTTTACGGGTCGCTAGTTCTGTAAAGGTAAGAAACATACATGGGGTGGAAAACGCGTGTTTAGCATTTTTATTATTGGTGTTATTCATAGTATATCTGTAAATATCAGTAAATAAATATGTATTTAAACTGTAAAGAAATGTGTATTTATTTGAAGTAGTGGAAAGAGCACTGCAAATTACAGTTTCTTAGCTAACATTTACTCAAACATAAGTACAAGCATAGAAAGTATGGGTACAAGGTGCTGTTACCAAGTAGAAATAAAACTGCTTCTACTAAAACTAATATCTACTACTATTTCTATTTAATATGTTTTATATCTATCTATCTATCTATCTATCTATCTATCTATCTATCTATCTATATATATATATATATATATATATATATATATATATATACACACAAACAATACTAATATTTATTTATTTTCAGATTTTAGCTCAATTTTACGTTTTGCATAACATAACCAGTTTAAAATTAATTTAGTTGTTTCAAAGCCCAGTCTGCATGTTTTCTCATCTCTGTTCAATCAGTGCAGGCAATGTTGTGTTTTTACCATGGATCTATTGAAATAATATTGTATAACAGGAAGCTGAAGCCAATGATTAGCTATGTCTGAACACCAATCTGTTTTAATTTTGATCCCTTCTCTCTAGCCATGCTCCTTGTGACCAGCGGCTTATATATCGGCACTGCAGCTGACCTGAATGACGGACAGGGTTTGGTAGGAGCAGGGGTGACTCATGTCCTGACAGTGGACTCCACAGGACCTCTGCTCCCTCCAGACTCTGGACTTTGCACTAAGTGGCTCAGTATTCTGGATGAGGCCACCTCTGACCTCCTAAGTCACCTCAATGAATGTTTCCTGTTCATTCAAGGAGCTGTGGATGGAGGAGGTGCTGTCCTAGTTCACTGGTAAGACACATGTAGCCACCTCCTTTTTTTTTACTAATCTTACTTATTTTAATGATCTTTGATCTTTGATCGTAATCATAAATAAGTAATACATCTTTATACGGCACTTACGCATTGTTTATAAATTTGTTTGTGGCTCTGTGTGTTAGTCAGGCTGGTCGGAGTCGTAGTGCCACTGTTGTAACTGCTTATTTAATGAAGAAATATCAGCTCAGTTTCACCGAGGCCTATGACAAACTGAGGAAACTGAAACCTGATGTCCAGTAAGTTTACATGTTTCTTCCCTCAAAATTATTAAATTAGTTCCCTGGTGTTTTTCAATAATGTGGTAGCCCAACATCATCAAGCTTCTTCTGTTAAAACTAGTGAACTGTTACATATATTTTTTAAAATTACAACATGCTGTCAGTAACAAATATACAAATTTAAGGTTCAGTTTTTTTAATTTATTTTATTTCAAGGGTCAATCCTGGCTTCGAGGAGCAACTGTGCCTGTATGAAAATATGCACTGTAATGTAGACACATCCAGTCCACTGTACAAACAATACAGACTGACCAAGATCACAGAGAAATTTCCAGGTACCATCGGTTAAATACACGATTAAAAAACATGTTTTTTGTGCAGTTTTTGATGTTTTGTTATTTTTTGGAATAGAGTTGCAGCATGTTCCCAAGGAAGTTTTTGCAGTTGACCCAGCAAATTTGTGCTCTTCTGAAGTGTCATATCGCTGCAGAAAATGTCGGTAATGTCAGTAATTGAATCCCAATCCAAGTAGTGGCTTTTGAGCTAAAAAACTTCTTTCTTTCTGACCCATCACAATAAAGAAAATGGCAAATAATATTTTCTCAGAACTCTGAATTAGATTATGGTTTAAATTATTTCATAAATATAAAAAGTACAAGTTGTTAAGACATATATGAATTAATCTTAGAATATATATGTAATGTAAAACACATTGATGATGTGTTTATTTTTCACTTTTTCACATTTGCATCCAATTGTACTGTTCAAAGTTACATTTATACATTAATTTGGTACCTTTGTTCTTTGGCAGACGAACTCTCTTCCGTGATTCAAGTATTCTCAGTCACTCAGTAGGAGATGGTGCTTTTCAACATAAGAAATCCAGTAATCTGTCAGGTAAGGGTCTGATGTCAACAGACATGAGATTGATTCCACAAGATGCAATTTTTGTAGAATTTACAGTACATAAATCAATTAACAGCTTTGTTCATAAATACTTTTTATTTAATTTTTAAAAATCAATTATTATAATACTGCATTCTTAGGTAATGTAGTAGTCTAATGTAACCCATATCAGAGGATGACTGGTTGCAAAAATAGATTACTAGATTGTTCTCAAGCAAGGGAAACGCTTAAGATTTTTGATCTTCTCTGATGTAATAATTGCAATATATACATTTTCAGGTACAGTGCAGTGTACATCTTACTTTATTGAGCCAGTTCAGTGGATGGAACCATCTTTACTTGGAGTCATGGATGGACAGGTAACATTTAAATGGTTATAATTTGAAAATTAATAAAGTAAACCTGACCTTTTATGAACATATTATGAAATGTAAGTGATTCGTTTGTGGTTATAGTTTTGCAGTTCCTATTTAAGTTTTCTCTCAAAAGTCTGCTTCTAGACTTGATATTAAATATATAATAATAAGTAGATTTTTGTTTTGTTTTTGTTTAATATTTGTTATATTTTGCAAGATTTTTTCACCCCTAATCAAAATTGTTTTTTGTTTTTTTACCGGTGCAGCTCTTATGTCCGAAATGTAACTCAAAGTTGGGCTCCTTCAACTGGTATGGTGACCAGTGTTCTTGTGGCCGTTGGGTCACTCCAGCATTTCAGCTCCATTGCAACAGAGTGGACGAGATACGACAGATCAACCTACAGAAATAACATACATAATAAGTAGTTTATATGGTTAACAAAAATGGAAAATGTAAATAAAATACATGCAGAGATTTTTAAATGAGGCCATTATGTCAAGTATTTTTTCAGAAATTAAGTAAACTATTTTGAACTATTTGCTTTACTGTCTAATTTATGGTTTTCTACAATCCAAAATGATTGCATTTTTAAGAAGTATCCACACTGATAAGTATTATAATGCAGAGCAAAAAAATCAGCATATGCGAAAGCTAAATATGTATTATTCCTCCATTATTTACCTTGTGTTTCTGAGATATCATATTACATTTAAAATCAACTTGAGATTTTAGTTTAACACTATATTAAAGCTGGACTCTAGCTTTTATTTTTAGTGGCCTGTATGTGCTACGTGACGAAGTTCAATGCTTCTCTAACCTATACTGCTCAACAGATGGCGCTGTTCCTCTATTTACAGCTGTGACTCAACTTGGAAAAGACGCATGAGCTTGACTTTTTTTTTTTTTTTTTAACTTGCAACTTTTTAACGATTGCTTCGAAGACACGAACGACTACAAATGAAGTACATGCCTGGACTCTTGAATTCACTACATGTCATTAATTACTGCAAAGTAAGTTGTATATCTGGATATTTAAAGGTAACACTTGTTCTTAATTTAGTAACAGATGGGCCGAACCAAGTCAGCACTCTGGGTGTTGACACAGTATGCTGTTGTGCCGATTTGCTATTTTATCATTTATAAATTTTGAGGTCATTTGCGGCTTTCACCTCGCTTCCTCTTGGTTCTACCGCAAACTTAATATCAGTATTGTAGGTTTCTTAAATTGAGCTCCAAGTTGAACTTTAGCTTATGTGCATCACCCAGTTTACAAAAGATTACTTTATAATTCTCGCTCTCCTTTTTTTTTCTCTATCTAGAATACCCGGCTCTTCTTTGCGTCACTTGGCAGTTCCCTGCGTCTGAACATCAGCTGTGAGTGGTCAACAGAGCAGAGCAGCGACGCAAGGCAAAACAGCCATAGTCTCACCGACTCGACATAACCGTGTGATGCTTCTTCGTCCTTATATCCGTGAGTATCCCGTCATGTCTACTTTTGTTCAGTCAAAATAGCAGCCGTACATCACGCGCCACGATGGTAAAAGCTATTGTATTTGTGTGATGTTGCGCGCACTGCCGCCTGATGTTCCGCGTGCAAAGCGTGGAGGTTTAAAGTTACTTATGTCGCTTATGTTTCCGTTTTAATTTAGGAATCGTGTTTTAATCTATACATCTTAATGTTTGATTTATCATTCTTCCTAGATTTGGGTTAAGTGTCTGAACCTAAATTTGTTGTTGCATCCAGTAAGCTATTTTATCGCGTCAGTAATACCCAAAACAACAAGGATGATTAACTAAAGAAAAGCAACCGCATTTCAGTGATGTTGATCAGATTAGATGATCAGTTTGAATATGAAGCCCAGTTTGCAGTTTTGGTCTCAGGGACTAATAAACCATCAGGAAATTATCAGCCCCATTATTTGATTGATGACCTGATTAATCATTGTTAACAGGGGCATGTCTTGTAAGACTATACCTTGTGAAAGTTCCCTGGGGCAGATGTGGAAACAGGCTGCAGCGGTCGAGATAGACCCGTATCAGATCAAAACAATGGCCGTATACATCTGTATTTGGTGGTTTGTCACTGTAATTACAGGTGAACCAGTTTGCCCTGACTTCAGTTAATCTCCAATTGACTTCAAGTAGTTATTTAAGATACCCATATAAACATAACATACAAACAACTAATGGAAATTTCAAGGTAATTTATTTGGACTACAGGTACAGTATAATGGTAATGGCATTAGTCTGTAACAGTTGCCCTATAGCACACAAGTATTACTAAAAATAGTAATAGAACTTGCATTAGATACATTAACTGCAATAGTATTTTTATTAAACATTCCTTTTTATATCAATGATCAGCAGTTATTCTAGTAGTAGTAGTTTTTTTTTTTAATTAGTTACTGTTTATAACCAATACATAAAACAATAACATTGTTGACATTTCAACTTAATGATCAGTGCTATTGTTTAAAATGCCAAAGTTAACCCTGTCAGAAGCTTTGACATTTCTCACATTGTCCAAATTCATAGTCGGGCTTTATTCTGATCTTAAGCCTAGAGGCAAACAGGTTGTACAGTATCACGCAGAGCTCAGCCCTTTCAGAGTCAATGTGCGCTCTGTTGAATGCTCTGGGTGGCCCGGCAGGCTCAGAGCATGCGCTGCCCACGTCACTTAGGCCAAAGGCTGCAGGGGTCAGGGGGCTCTGAGCTGACCATCTGGCCCCCGGGGGTTGGTTTCCTCACTGGCCACCATTGTTCCTTCACAAACAATTGAGACTTAATCTGGGAGAAGATAAGTGAGGGCCTTGTGACACCACTCACACCGACCGCATGCGGATCCCTTTAGCCATGAAGGAGGGATCTCATTTTGGTTAGGCTTTGGGTGCACATTATTCAGTTTTTAATTTATTTAATTCTGACTGGGTGAGCTTAACAAAATGTATCAATAATGTGACCTAGTATTTGCCCTTAGCTTAATATTTTTAACACAAGACAATAAATTGATTAATTGATTAATCATGCATAGTTTGGCTTTCTGGTCTTTTTTTTTTTTTTTTTAAAAACCCAACATTTTTGCTTACATTTACAGTCATGAAAAGGCATTAATAGTATTTCTAACATTTGTAATATCTTTGTCTTAACAGAAATTATAATGCTTTTTATAGACTCAAAGCTTTGTGCATTATTCATTCACTCTATCGAATTTTGAAGATGAGCTACAAGTTTCCTTTCTATTGAAAGATAGCTGTGAACCCACTTCACTGACAAATGAAATTATGTCTACCCTTATAAAATGATAGACCATTTCCTCAATACTCTTACTTATATTTATGTATCGTATGAAATCCCTGAGAAAATTAGATTATATAACATTTTAAACAAGAAGAAGAAAACCTAAAGTTCTGTGATCCAATCCAGTATGGCTCCTAATGACCTCTGTAAACCCAGCGCAGTTATGATTATTTTTTGTCTCCACTGCTCTGCTATAGATAACCCGCTGTGATGCTCAAAGGATGTTGTTTTCTAAAAATACAAGATGACATTTTTCACATTAAAGTCTAATTCACTCCCATTTGCACATACATCTCCACGACAACAGATTGATTTATTAGTCAGTATCATTTTGAACTCTGCAGGTTTCAGCTCAGGCCGGACCACATGTTTATTCAGTTGTCCTTTTGTTTGCTTGTTTTTATTTTTCCTGTGAGAATGTATTCTGACACGAAACAAGGCTACATTTGTTATCCTCACACCTTGCATTATTGTTCTTTGTTATGACAAACCAGGGTGTGATGGAGAACTGATCCATGTGGAGCCATAGCTAAAACACATATATATAACAATTGATTTCCAATGCAGAGGTTTCAGTTTCCCTTTACTTTGCCTAGCCGAAAACATATCATTTTAAAATATTGATCTGAGAAAGGCAAAATCCTTGACATGCAACAGCCGCTGTAGATCAAAGACCACCTCAGGGACTGATTAGTTGTAGTTGTGTTAGTATGTCTCTTGATTTTATTTTAGGAAACTAGGTGTTGGCCTCTTAATTTTTGCAAACAAAACATTGCCAATGTATGTGTACTATTACTAGTTTTAAACTCTTACTTTAATACTGATTTTATATACAACAATTATAATAACACATTTTTACTGTGATTTTCCTCAGAAATCACAGTAGTTTCTTTAATATTACAATATGGAAAAAATAAACAACTAGCCAGAAAAGGTCAGGTTGAGTATCGGTATGGTACAGTTTTTTGTTTTTTTTAAGTGATTGTCATGATTACTAACTTATTATTGTACAGTTCAACATTTCCTGTGTAACAAAAGATATAGATTTGTGAAAGGTAAATCAACACGCAAGACCATATTAAGAGCATGTTTTAAATTTTTTTATTTCAACAGCACACATTTTTCATTACAGGCAGAGTCCTAAAGACCAAAACCATTTACTTACTATACTACAGCACATTTATTTATTAAATAATTTACCAGCTGGATCAATTGAGAACATCCTCTCATTTACAGTTATGACCTGGCCAAGAAGCAGCATAATATAGCACAAGCAGAATGCAAGCTCTAACACATCAAAATCATGCATTGTAAACTGAATCAGTAAAACATTTGCAGGTTAAAGTGTTGAAAGCATGTGCGCTGATCTTGTGAAATATTCTGTATTGAGTTTTTAAAAGCAGATGAACTCTAGGCTTTAAAGTAGGTGGTTCCGGTCACTTGCTGCAGAGAACTGAAATGAGAAGCGGCAAAAAGCTGTGTGGACTTTAGGAATGACCAGGTTAATGTAGCTGTTGGACTTGAGTGTGCGACTGAAGCTGTGGATATTTAGTAGTGACATATGGCTTAACTTTATTACTTTTATCAGTTTGAATATTGATCCGTGAAAGGAAAATCCTTCAAATGCATGGAACACCAGTTCCTGGTTAATTATGTGGACCAATCCATAGCTTTATCCTTTCTGAGGGTCGTCTTAGTGAGCCGGATATGTCTTATGTGTTGTACAGATGGCACAGAGGCAAAATCCAACTTAAGAAATCACTATTGTTTTACACCTTAGCCCCGACAGTTGTGGCATCATCAGATTTTGATTTGATAATTTCACCAAGGTTTATTTTGCATTACAACTGTCAAAAAAAGTACGTCTACATTAAAGTAGTGATATCAGTAAATAAGTAAACTACTCATACTTTCACATTTTTAAATGTTAATGAAGGCATTTGATTTTAAATGGGATATTTTTGTTGTTGTCCAAATTTACAAGACATCAGTTGCTAGCACTCCAATTGTGAAACCCTGATATTATATTATAATTTTAAATAAAGGAACTGACCAGGGCCTATCAATAATGATGGGCAACGTTTCAATTAATCTACTATAGTATACGTTCATTTATCATGGATTGAGCAGAGATTATATTTCATCATTGTTCATTTAAGAGATATTTGTAGACAAGTCTTTATTTGGTACTTTTTACACCCCTAATACTCTTTAAACTGTACTTTTTTATTGAAGTCCAAAATGCCAAGAACACTGTGTTCACTGTGCTTAATCAAAAGAACGGAGTATTTTTTTTTTTTTTTTTTTTTTTTTTTTTACTGTTGTACCAGCAATGACAGGATCAAATGTTTATCTTCGCCAAAGCAAGAAGCTGGATCTTAAGACTCTTGATCTGTAAAACATAGTGTACAGAAATGCGTTAGGTTAGGTATATTCTCTCCTTGTATGCGGTGGTCAGCTTTGGTACACTGCCATGCACAACGTTTTGATGCATTGTCACAAACAGTAACAGAATGAGACCGAATGGTGCTCTTCTTCCAGTGTGCTGGCAATTAAACAGAACCATCTTTTTGCAAATGCAGCAAGTTTGAGCGATGGCTAAGGCCTACTGAATGGTATGGGCAGCTGAGGAAGGAATTTTTCTTAATTTTTTGACCTTTTAATTATTATTGAATTGCATGAGATTTCTTTCTTTTCCAGTCTACTCTCTTGGATTAGACCTACTCTGGTAAGCTTCTATACATATTTACACCCTTACATTTATATTGTATAGTTCTTTGAATTAAAATATAAGAAATAATTGAAGATATTTTTAAAAACTGTACTGTCTAAAATAGCAGTCTAATAAAGCTAATGGTACTCATTTGTATTAGATAATATACAACAAATATTTGTTGCGACAAGATAAGTATTTGCTGAGACTAGGTAAATGTCACTTTTTCAATAGACCCCAGGAGGATCAGTCTGAAGTACATCTTAAGGCAATCCAAATAAACAAATATGATGCTAATAATGAGCAGTATAAAAGGTAGAGGTTATCCAGGGACGCGCTCGCTCTCTTGAACGCTCAGTGCTGTAGTGATGTGGGAATTATATGCTTACTGTATGAAGGCGTATGACACACTTAACAATTGGATCATTAAAACCAATCGCACAAAGGCCCACAACCCCTCC